CACACTCGCATGAATAGGAAGAACTATGAGGCATGTTGACTTCTCTATTACTAATAGTTAAATGCTAATATTTTCAAAGTATCACTATTAAATTATAAATAATGCAAAACATCAATTTGGTGAACATCTCTGAATATGTAGCACACATAGTGAACATGCTACTGACCATAAGTGAACATGCTACTGAACATTAGTGAACATGCTACTGAACATTAGTGCACAATAGTGAGCATACTAATGAATAATAGTGAACATGCTACTAAACAATAGTGAACATGCTTCCGAACATTAGTGAACATGCTACTGAACAATGGTGAACATGCTACTGAATAAAAGTGGACATGCTACTGAACATTAGTGAACATGCTACTGAACAATAGTGAACATGCTACTGAACAATAGTGAACATGCTACTGAACAATAGTGAACATGCTATTAAACAATAGTGAACATACTACTGAACATTAGTGAACATGCTACTGAACAATGGTGAACATGCTACAAAACAATAGTGAACATGCTACTGAACATTAGTGAACATGCTACTGATCAATGGTGAATATGCTACTGAATAATAGTGGACATGCTACTGAACAATAGTGAACATGCTACTGAATAATAGTGAACATGCTACTGAACAATGGTGAATATGCTATAGAATAATAGTGGACATGCTACTGAACAATAGTGAACATGCTATTTTACAATAGTGAACATGCTATTTTACAATAGTGAACATGCTAGTTCAAAATTAGAAATACAATTGAAAATTTTTGAAAGGGTAAAAAGTTTGCTATGCAAAAATGAAGTGTTCTGACATCTTATGGTCTTAAGATCGACTAAAGATGCTGAAATAAGTGAAAATGAAACAATAAAATTGAAAATATTTGCAAGGGTAAAAATTTTATTACTAGTATACAAAAATGAAGTGTGTTGACATCGTATAGTATTCATATGGGTTAAGGATGCTGAAATAAGTGAAAAATGAAAAGTAAAATTGAAACTTTTTGCGATGGTAAAAAATTATGATACAAAAATGAAGTGTATGGACATCTTATAGTCTTTATATGGGTTAAGTATGCTGAAATAAATGAAAAATATAATTGAAAATCTTTGCAAAGGTAAAATATTTGTTGGACACATATGTAGTGCGCTGACATCATAAAGTCTATATATGGACTAAATATGCTGAAATAAGTGAAAAATGAAATGTAAAATTGAAAATGTTTGCAAGGGTAAAAAAATTGTTAAAACAAAATGATGTATTCTCATATCGTAAAATATGTACAGGCAAAACTATTTATCTAACCCGTAAACAGCCAGGATAGACATTGAGTGACGTAGGCTGTCGTATTATGTTTACGAGGGTTACTTTGACCTCTGGATTTCCTGTTGTGATGGTATTCCCCGTACTACGCTAAGAAAAACAAAAGACGAATATTTAGTGTATACATGTACACGTAGAACTATCTATATTTTCAATATCTTGCTGTCATTTCCCGTGTCGTTTAATGTAGAAATATCCATTTCACTTTAGGGATTTCACTGCATTTCACGTAGAAACGCTGACTTTTGCTTGTAGAAGTTTAGTAAGTATCTTCCATTTTGTCGAGACTTAACAACAATACATCTTAAAGTAGTCACCTGTGAAAGAATTGTCTCGACACTTCCTTAAGAATTCTTTATTTTTTATAAAATTTCCTTTTTTAGAACTTTATGACACATTGTTGCCCCTTAGTTGTAAGAATATACTTATTTTAATGATTTTGTTGTGTGACTAAACTGAGAACTGGGCAATAAATAGTTACATTTGAGTAATTAATCTTAAAATATATGTCAAGAATGATCAAATAGTTCATGTTGGTTTAGAGAATACATGAGGAATCGAATACTCTGAAACGCATTTCAAACGATTTGCCTATTCAAAATCAAAGCAAAAGTATTCTATTATGTCTTTAAAAATGACAGAGAATTTCGCATGTCAGCTTTACGACTTTGTTCCATTGCCTAATTTTGGAATGTAGAAAGTAAAGTCCATAGTTTGTCGGGGTTACGGAAGTGTGGGGTTGTAGGAAATCTCGTATTTCATCCAGCATTGGAGAATACGTTCGAGAACGTTGAACATTATCATCCAGTAGGTCCTATATGACCAGGGATGGGGGCTTTGGAACTGTGGGGGTGTAGGAAATCTTGTATTTCACCCGGCGTCGGAGAATACGTTCGAGAAACGTTGGTAGGATGTTGATATGTGACATACAGATTTCTTGCTGCGATGGTATTCCCATACTAGGCAAACAAAGAACAAATATGTAGTAACAACGTTTCTATCTATTTCCATATTCATTGTAATGAGTGCCAAACCTCTATCCATTTTGTATTTTATAATCTAGGCTATATAGTCACTTTTTATAGAGGTAATAGGTAACAGATAAATCATTTGTCATTTGGTTTTATTATCTTATCAATTGTCTCCGAAAGTCAAACGAACGATCGGAGAGTATCAATCATCCTCGGAACACTGACGTCAAAAAGACGTTTGGATATCGCCTAAACGTTCGAGAATCGTTTTACTTTTACGAAACTGTATCATTCGTATTTGACCAAGCAGAGCTTCTCATCCGAGAAAATTCACACTGACCTCACTCCGGAAGTCAAGCGACCAATCAGTCATCCACGGAAGTCAACTCTTGCGTCACTAAAACGTTCGGAAATCGTCTGAACGTTCGGGAAACGTTAGGGAATACCGTATTACGTTGGGGTACGATCGAAAAACGTTGGGGAATCCCGTATTTCATCAGATTTCATCATCGGGTCCTATAGGACGGAACCATGAAATACGCACACTATACTACTCCCGTGCCTATTTTAGTTGCGGAAAATTGACTTTTTGACAATTTAGTATATTTTTAACTGATTTCAAGTGTCCTACTTTGTTAAATCACATGTCACTGTAAACAGTCGTTTGGTGAGATAATTGTGTAAAAAAATTGGAAGAAATTTATATCGTTTTTTTTTGTCTGCCAATTTAGCCATCATGGGCCATTTTGAGCAACACCATGTGAGCCCATTATCCGTAGTACTACTATGTATTGCTGGTTTGCATCACATTCTTGATGAAAATCAAAGTGCAAAATGATTTTAGCCGTAGCCACAGTTAGTCAACGTAGAGCAATAGGTCCTCTTTTATTTATTGTTACAATTTTCATACAATACAATTTTGGGATGAATGTTGTGCCAAATCCAACTGCAATTGTTCTCTTAAAAGAGATAGGACAAATCATTTTCAAACAATATAGAGTGCGGTCTAACAGTGACTATGTTTGAGACACTTACAGTACCTGACTCAACCTTACGAGCATTTTACTCGTTGAATGGTTTTTATATGTCTAATATGTATATAACTTTGTCATAATTTGTACTTCTATTTTACATTACTGTACATATAACTTGTATCTCCATTTCATTATGGGCAATAAAGATATACAATACAATACAATACAATACAATACAATACAATACAATACAATACAAAAACAATCCAATGACAAAGTGGGAAGATGATTTATTGATACTTGAACAAGCATATCTATATCTGATTCGAACAATTAAAATAGACGAGATTGAACAAATAATTTGACTCGATGTACACTCCCCTCCATAAGTTTGGCAACCTTTTTTCTCCATTGAACTACGTGTTAAAGCCTCTTTACGTTTGAATTTTTATTTACTTAACCGGCGATGAAATAACTTATGATATTGATGGAAACGTAACTTGACTTTATTTCCAATACCTCCAAATTTTCTCAATTTTTTCCTCCATTACAATAGGTCGAAAATTGATGGTAAATTTGATGAATTTTTGAAAATCGTCATTCTCATGTAATCCAATGGGAAATGGAGGGTTTGGGGCAAATCAGAAATCAGGATATCTTTTCAGTAAAAGATTCAGCAAAAAATATTTTCATATAGAAAATTGAATTATCTAACTTTTTTGAACACTAAGTGTTTAGTTTATTTGATGAATATTAAAGTTACAGCGCTTCAAAGTCATTTTTGAAAATTATTTTTCGCCTCCTGTGTTATTTCAATGGGAGAGGTTTTTTGAAAAACAATTTTGACTTTAAAGCCCTATAACTTTGTTGAACCTGAAGAAACATATCAATTTTTTATTAAATAAAGTTCGCAAATTCAATTACCTGCCTAACTCGTATTTTTTGCAAGGACTCGGATGGATGGATATTCTGTCATATGACTTGCGGCAAACCTACCATTTCCCATTGGTTAACATGGGAATGTCGATTTTCAAAAATTCATCAAATTCATCATCAATTTTCGACCTATTGTAATTGAGGAAAAAATTGAGAAAATTTGGAGGTATTGGAATTAAAGTCAAATTACGTTTCCATCTATAGTATAAGTATTTTCATCGCAGGTTAAGTAAATAAAAATTCAAAGGTAAAGAGGCTTTAACACGTAGTTCAATGGGGGAAAAAGGTTGCCAAACTTATGGAGGGGAGTGTATGTTGTTGAACTCGTGTCGAACGTAACTTTTTGTTCTTTACTTATACACAGTTTTTGTTATTTACTTATACAAATCATCATACTTACTGTTGACGATTGAATAAACATTGCGGTATAATTAAGTATTCAAATAATATAGCTATTTATCAGTTCTTTACACAAATAAGCTATATACTCTGGATCTGAAGTGCTATATTTTAGGTCAAGTTAGAAATGCTTATGATATTAACTTTTTTTAAATTAATGTCCAGTATATGATGTCTACATCCAAAAAATGGTGAAACGAGGACCAAGTGATTGAAGAATTGAGGCGACGGTTAAGTCCGCCATTTGTGACAACGGTATCTGACTTTACCGTTGTCAGGCTATTCCGGGGTGAATATGCAGGAAGGAAAAAAATCCAACGCACCTGGACCACCCGGTTGGCCTATTTTTGGAAACTGGTGGGAGTTTGAGACTGTAAACCCCCATGGTCACAAATGGAAAGATGGCGGCAAAAGTATGGCGATGTTTTCAAGCTCAAACTTGGGGTAGCGGATATTGTCGTCGTGAATGGTGAGGCGATATACGAAGATCTTGAGACGAAAAGTGTTGATTGTATGGGCAGCCCCAACAATGGTCGTTATAAAATGCTGACAGGCTTTCATGACATCTTAACAGGAACATCTGATGAAAAATGGAAATATTTTCGGAAAGTCGCACATCAAAGACTGAGGCAATACGGGAAGGGAGTTTTGAGAATTCAAGAACTGAGCCAGGATCAAAATTTGAAATGCGTTGAAGCTTTTCTAATATATAACGGTGAACCTTTTAACCCCAATGATGACATGTGGCACACAATGGCCAATGTAGCTACAATTGCGGTAAGTCATTTTAAAAGAGTTTTTTTGGAATGTATGGCTTACATTCATTTTTTCAAGTGAGCCTTAGTGTACGACGGTATATTTGTCACTGTACGTTGTCGATGGTTAGGCATGATAATGTGTATTGTCGATCCCGATTCCCGATGCAAGTTGTAAAACGTGTACTTTTACCCCCAAAAGAGTAGATCAATATTAAAGGATTCCATTTTCAGCCACCAGTAACTGAATGAATGGCATATTCAAATGAGACACTTAACATTTTTTCCTAGGAGTCTACTTTTTTACTTTTTTGTCTGTGTTCAGTGTCGTACTTCGATTCGTCAGTAGCAAGAGCTCTGACCGACAGGATGTACGAGCTATTTATGGCCCAACCAATAATTTTTTTGGCCCAACCATTTATTGAGTAATGCCTGAAAATGTTAAAATGTTATATATCGTGTGTCATAACTAAGCATTTGAAGTTATATCATAAAACAGGCATTGTAAATTATGAATGGTTTTATTGTTTTTCCTCAAACAAATAATACATTTTAAAACGTAATTACGCATGTTGAAATTTATGTATTCGTTGTTTTCTCTCGATTCGCATGATTAAATACTAAACTGCAATTTGTTAATATGACACATACGTTGTTTTGTATAAGAGGTTGTATCATAGGTACAACAGCTTAGGGATAAAAGGAATAGGCACACTATTTAGTAAGTATAGCGCTTTTATAATTTACAGGTTTTCATTATCACATGAGATCAATATAAAGATATACCACGATTAAACTGATCAATCCCTCATATATGAGTAAAGCTAGCTGCTAGCCGTCGGTATAAGAAATTGGTACCACTCGAGACAAATAAAGTCAATTAATAGTCCCGACAATAAGGTGTTTGCAAAAGAAGTGTTAAGAATTCAAAACTGTAACCTCATTTTCATTTTCCCTTTGGCAACACTTTTTATGTGTGATATCCTTTAGATCAAAACAAAATTAGAAAGATGTTTGCGTGTATTTTACAAGCCCAATACTTAAAAATACGATATCGTTAGTACTAGTGAACCACCATTTTCAACAGCAACATTAACATGAAAGGCTTGATGATCAAATGCGCAATATTATGCCTTGGCTGTATCTCAATCGGGGCAGCTCAGACGAAACCAGGTGGAACTGGACAAGGAGTCACCAAAGCTGATCTTCTGAACCTTAAGAATGCGGTCAATACATTGGTTACGAGTCAGACAACCTTGAAAGAATACATTACGGATGAATTAGCCAGCATACGAGACGAGGTATCAAATCTGCGGGATGATGTGTCCAATTTAAGGGATGGTGAATCCAACGTTAGAGACAATGTTCTTGAAATAAAAGAAAATATGATTGACCTGAAAAAGCAGAGAGATGATACTGCTGACAGTGGGGTCTCTTCTAAAGGTATGTAAAGGGCATCGACGTACTTCTTACTGGCGGATCTAGGGGGGGGGGGGGCATTAGGCCGTTCCCCGCCCCACCAAGGATGGTTTAAAGTTTACAACCACCGGAAAATGTTGGTAAAGGCCAAGTTGGTTTTTGAACCTCTGGTCGGCACGTCTTGATAGAATTTAAACTTGACTATGTTCATAATAGGCTATCGTACCACAATCAAATTTGGCCTAACCCACGTCCACTGACACTTTTGCGCTGAACTAAACTTCGTTTACGACAATGGTGAAAATAACAGTCAATGACGTAAATGCATTTATATTTTATCTCTGAATTAAAAGTTTATAATAAGCAAAAATACTTATTTTATAAAAGGAATACGAAATGTTTCATTGGTGTTACGCGGTAAACACGATACAAAAATATGTCATATTCCGCAACGAATATGGCATATTCACTAGCGGTGTATGACAGATTCACCTGCGGTATATGGCATACACACTAACCAATGAGAACGTGATACGGAAGTACGCAATTGTCAATTGCATCGATTGAACGAACAAGTAAATCATTATAATTTATTATAATGATTTCTGAATCAACAGTACTGTGTATCGAATATATTAACTCAGCAGAAGTTTCAGTCACCAATCTCGCGTAATATACTTACTCAATCAATCCAGGATTCATATATTAGTACTCGACGCACTAATTATATTGGTTATCCAGCGTAGTTTTACATTTAGAGTCGATTCTCGCAACCAATCAAATCAAGGCTTTCTGTATCACGTTTTCACCTGCGGTATATGTCATATTCACCTGCGGTATATGGCATATTCCGCAAGTGAGTATGACATATTCCGCAGGTGAGTATCGGGTATTCACTGAAATCGATGTATCGCATATTCACTGCGGAATATCGCATACTCACCTGTGGAATATGCCATATACCGCAGGTGAGTATGGCATATTCACCCGTATCACAAATACCGCGCAACCATGAATGTATGCCATATACCGCGTAACAATTGGATTCAGCGAAATTGGAAGAAGTTATAAATGCTTTCAATGAGCAGATGGAGAAGATCGTAGATGCACATCACTCAACGCCATCTAAAGGCAAAACGGGTAATGACATGGAGTTTACCTATGTATATAAAATAGTACAAATAGTTGCTGCCAATAAACACACGACCCGATGACTGGAATGCATCACATTAATTAAGATGACCGTAACTTTAATTCACATCGTAAAAACTATGTGACCTTCGGCACATCCGACCGACATTATACATGTTTGATAAATTGTTAAGTTGTTAATTCAAAAGAAAAACGCTGATGGCATGGGGAAATGTCATATCCTGCAAAGAAAGTAGAACGATACTTTACAATCGTCTAATTATTATCTGACTTAGGGGTTTGCAATGCATCATTGGTAGCAGCAGAACTTAAAGACGACCTTACTGGTATTTTGTGTGAGCAGAAAAATAGATCGCATTATGGTCAGCAAGTAGTACAAGGTAATAATACACTACCAGTATGTACATGGCCATTACGAAACGTGTAAGATTATAACAAATCATGAAAGGTAAAATTAGCGTTATTATGCTGAACTACTAGTGTTAAAGGAATGGACAATAATTTTAAAATTACCTCATGTTCAAGTTGCAATCATTTTTATAAATTATATTGATATATTTAATATCACTGAATATGGTATTGCTTGTTGAGAGCCACACAATATTACCGTTTATCATTTATTTGAGATTTAAGCAGGGGTCCATTTTTGAAAGACATAATCGTTTTAAAAGATTTCTTGTGAATAGATAATAAATAAGTACAAAAAGTATGAATTATTATATATCAAGAGCATAATGTAAAATTTCAACTGAAAAGTTAGATCAAAATGGAATCCAAGTTCACAGTGGGGGGTATAACTCATCAAACATTGTATAATTTTTTTAAAGCTTATTGTTACAGCCTTATGTTTTTAATTTGCTTTTGTTAGTTGGGATTATATCATTGACCATTTATGAATTTTTGTGCACCATACAAGGTTACAGAACTTCATTTATGAACGATTTCAGCACAACCATGAATGTATGCCGATTAAGATTACAATATTTTCGAACTGTAAGAAGGGTCAAAATATTCTGCCATTACTTTAATGTTTTTCAATTTCGAAGGATGTTTTTTCATCCTTAGATGAATGTTTGAATGAATTTATGCTTACTGGAGAACATCACAGGTTTCTTGACAGCAGTTTAACAGCCTCATCAGAACTCTTTTCGGTTAGATCTGCAAGACTTGGGTGAGTTAATACAAATACTCAATTATGAGTTTTTCGAACACATAGTTGTTCAGTTCATCACATTCACACGGTCCCGTTTACACCATTCCGTATCAGTGGTTTTGTTGACATTAATTAAGAAATAAATCATACCATTTCATTAAAAGTGATGACCTCTTGTCCTACGGAAATTGAGATTATGTTTCACATCAAGTTCGCATGGCGATACTGTATAGCACATGCCAGTCATCAAAAAATTCTGAAAATTTTACACAATTGTCAATTTAATGGTCATCTTTTGAATGGTAACTGTACAATATAATTTGAAATAGATATAATATATACTTTTCTCTATATTGTTCTTGGTATCATATGTTCGGAATGAAATGAAACATCTATTCGAACTTCATTGGAACAAAATGACATAAACACAACGTGGTAATTATGTCTCCCAATATTGGAAAATTTGGTTGATTTAAAATTGTATCTTATTAATAAAATTAAAGGTTTATCTTAATTTTGATCGATTTGGTTTTTTTTGTTTTAATTTTTTGAATACTTTTCGTTAAAGCAACCAAACTTTCCTTTGTACAACTATAATATTGGGAAGTCTAAGAAAATGTTGTATATGCTATTTTGTTTAAACAAGCTTCGGAAATATATTTTATTGTTCCACACAAAGTAAAAAAATGTCTTTCTGTTGGTGCATTCTATTCTTGTACAGAGTCCCTTGTTTTAGCGGCGTATGGGTCCCCAGCTGTGAGATAACGCAAATGTTCACAGATTTCTACAATAAGTCTAGTTACCTCGCCAGTTCTTTCCTTATTTTTGTTCATTCTTCTCGAAGGGACGCCCATTACAACCCTCAATTGCTTCGTGAACATTTTGGGCATTAAACGGAGCAGTTTTGAAATCATCCGAAAATCTGTTCAAAGTTGACCAATACTTCCCGTCGTCTTCCACTTAACCTACGCGGAAAGTCTCTAGAGTTATAAACTACCGACGAAGACAAAACTCTCTTTTAAGAAGCGATGTCGAACGAATGCAAAGGGTAGGATACTCCCAATCGAGTCTATGACTACAAACGTGAAGTTTCACTCTAAAACATTGATGTAACAAAACTAGATAAATTGTTTTGCCAAACAGAATATGATATTTTATTGTAAACATAATGAATAATTGTAAGTTGGGTAATAAAAAGTGGGATGGCGGTGGGAATGGGTGGTTTTCGAAAAATGAAGTATTCTTCAATGTCAAGTAATGATCAGAGAAAGAAGCTTATGATAAAATACCAATGTTCTTTTAAATATATTTTGATCCTAGAATCGCTCAGAACACACTGAATCAGCCCAAAACTTCAACATTTTCCAGGCGGGAGCATGCCCCCGGGCTACGTCCCTCGCAAGCTATTATTATACAGGCCATGATAATTTGGCTCGAATTTTGTTCTGCCTAAATGAACTAACTAGTCATTTTAACAACATTAGGGCATTGCTGGGCATTTTTCAAAATTGGGGCCCTAATTTTCTTCTGCGCAAGCGCGGACATTCGTGTCGCCTCCATTTTTTTCGTGGCCATCCCTGGTGTCTTTTTAATAACACCCCTGTGATTACAATGCGAAGTTGGTTAAACATGAAAACATTTTTTGTGTGTGAATGGGGGGAGGGATTCGAGACCCCCCCCCCCTCCAAAAAAAATATATAACGAGACACAAATTTATGTCTTGTTTAATATTTTAATCTTATCAAATTTGAAATTTTGGAGCAAATAGCATTTATATGGGCAGCCCATATTAACTTCGACTCAATGATTACTCCAAGAAAATTAATATCATTTACCCTTTCTATTGATTGATTGTTTAATTTTACTTCAAAGGGCTGTGCATTCGATTTGATTATTCACTTTGATTATGGACTGAAGCCGTGAACTTTATTCACCCATTAAACGTTACATAACCTCATTCAGCAGAGCGAGTCATGGCTGGGTTCCTAAAGAAAGAGATCTTCATCAGTGGATCCAATTTGACCTCGGTGAAGTATGGCAGATAAATGGCGTAGTAACACAAGGCTTTGCTAATGGGGATTGGTGGGTGAAGTCTTACACAATCTCACACAGTCTCCAAGGGACTAATTCATCATTTACCGAAATTGTTAAGGCAGATGGCCATGTGGTATGTTAACTTCAATGTTTATAATAGTTAATAAGATCGATTGTAGTATGAGATAGTGAGAGCGAGATTCATTGCTAAGTAAATAAAGTAAATAACATGTACACGTAAGTTCTGTAAAGGTCATACCTGACATCGAAGTAAGTCTTCTCTTTCGGGCATTAAAATTAATACAGTATGACTACTTATCAGTGCGAATATATTACTATATACTTTAGTTAATACATAACGGCGTTTATGACATGGTTTTTAAATAATATTTTGAAATATTTTTCCAGACATTCAGAGGAAATAAAGATAGACATACACCAGTAATGAACACTTTTCAGTCAGTCAAAGCAAGATACATCCGAATCGGACCGAAAAGTTGGCATGGTGCCCCTGCCTTACGATTTGATGTCATCGCGTGTCACCAATGAGAATTCAAAAATCGTAATAGATGTTTAATTTTAAGGCATATTAATTGAAACTACATTTTTAATTTAGTCAAATAAAGTTATTTTCAATATAAACTCTAACAAAGCGTCACTTCGAATTTATCATACACCGGTCACAAATTATCCTCAATGAGACAGATATTTTTTTAATCTGTCAATTACTGTTACAGTATATAAATCACAATAATTTTCTTGGTATGTACTTTAAAGTATTATTACCACCTTGCCGGGCCAGTTCTAGGGGTTTTAGTGCTAGTTTAGAAGGCATTCATTTTACTATATCGACCTGAGCAATATGTGACGTCATAGTGGTGATCAATATTGCCGGTCAAGAATGCAATTAATGACCGGCAATTTTTCCCAGGAAATTAGATATCGTTCATTCGGTCCTCGGTCCAATATTTCACTATATTGCCCTTCGAAATGACGTTATTGTTCGACTAGTCATGCATTTTTATTGCACGTTTCCATTTTATAATAATCAACGTTTTACAGTAAATGACAATTCATCAATTTGATCCAAATGATCTTGGGAACCAGATCTCCTTAGCAATTCTTTTAGGGCATTCCTGCTTCAAAGGTCAGGAGGCACTATTGCTTGGATATTGTTAGTGCAATGCAGGAACATTTTGTATACAGGGGTGCGCATGGGGTATAGCAATATTCCCTGATAATAATATAATCTAAACAACACATTCATAAAATATATTCCATTGTATAACTTAAACAATTTATTTATATGCCATATTCCATTGCATAATTGAAAAAACATGGTGCATTATATCCCATTACATATTCACTTTTTATGAGATAACTCTTGTGATTTAAACAAAATATTACACTGTATAATAGACTACTACTCTTACAAAAGAAATGCACCACAAAATGCATTTCATTTTCTTTTTTAAATATGATAAATTCATCATTTTTTCATCAGGAGCTATTTAACAAATCATCAAAAAAAGTATACTATAATATTCATTCTTCATTCATTCAATCATATTCTTATATGAATGCACAAAGTGGATAGAAATAAATTAGTTACTGTACACCTTTCTAAAAATCAAACCATTCATATACTTTTTTCCTTAGTTATAGTAGTTTACAAAAATATGATTGATATACTGTACTTCAAATACAGTCAGAGCATATGACTAATTTCAGCAAGTTTCCATTTTCAGTTTTGTTGGTTTCACTCTACATGCCTCTGAGTGAAAAAAACATATAAACCATATTTCTTAAAATTCGTTCACTGTAAATAAGACTGTGAACTTTGTTACATAAAATATATGGTAACATATCTGCATAGGATATCTTACATGTATAACAATACCACCTCTCATTTAACAAAATATACACAGGCCTTATGTCTTTAATTTCTTTAACTCTTTTATAAGACTACATTCTAATTTCAGGTGTTCCATTTTAGCTTTATTTGTTTTCACCCTATACATGTGAGATAATATATCAGCATAGGATATTGTATAACAGTACCACTTCTCAGTAAACACAATACATATAAAGGCCCTGTCTTTAATTCCTTAACTGTTTATAAGACTGCAATCAGCTTTGTTGGTTCCAGCCTATACATGTGAGATAATAGGTAATATATCTGCATAGGACATTGTATAACGGTATCACTTCTCAGTAAACAAAATATATATTAAGGCCCTGTCTTTCACTGTTTATACTGACTGCAATCCAAATCTTATGTGTTCATTTTCAGCTTTGTGTTTGGGTCCAACTTGTATATATATAGATATGTAATATTTTAGGACATGAATAGATAGGTAATATATCTGTATTGGATATAATAGAACCTCTCAGGAAACATAGGCATTATGTTTTTAATTTCTTTCTTAGTAGCATATTCAGATTGTCTTGAGTGTTTGTGAGGCTACTGTCTAATTTCAATGCTTTTAGGTATGCATTTTCAGCTTTGTCCAACTTATTCCATCTATGGTACAGCACTCCAATGTTGGACCAGTACTGGGCATTACCACTGTCTAAGTCTATAGCTCTAAGAAAGTGTTTCTCACTGTCGCTGAACCTAGAAATCAAATGATAAGTAATTACATTTGTACAGTTGAATCCGTAATGTGAAACACCATTGTAAGTGTAACAACTCTGTTCATTGAAGACCAGGTGTCCGATGACCAAAAGTGCAACATCTCCTAATGGGAATATTTTTGGATGTTCCACAGTGATCCACTTACACAGATTTAGCCTATTATTAATAATCAATCAATTTTACTTTTATTGAACAATTAACAATCTTTAAAGTCAGCAATTGAAGGGCTGCCTCTCTTCAAAATTTGTTAACAAGTAAAAGTGCTTTTGACGAATATCATTCCTTGTCCTATTGTTTCTCATCTAATGAAAATATAAATTTATCTCCCTTTACAGATTTTATCGGTTTAACTTTTCTTAATATGATAATCTTTACTGGGTTTAAAAATTAGGACAGCTCCATGCCTTAAAGGGGCAACAAGGACTGTAGATAGAAAATTCAATTTTTTTTTTCTGAGCTATCAGGGCAACATTTGGCTTTACATCTTCTTTGACATACCTATTTTCTTAAAATGTATGGATAAACTATCAATTTCAGCATTAAAGGCCCCATGTAAAGTTTAAACCACTTTGGCTAATATTGTAGTCTTACCCAATGTTATCAAAGTGTGATATGTGAAACTTTTTTTTTTAATTTCAAAACGTGGTTTTTGATAGACTTTCCAAAATTTGTGAATTTATTTAAAACCAACTTTTAGAGGTCACTCATATCTTCTAATTAGCCACAATTCATATCAATGCATAGCATTCATCCTCCCATGTTTTTTGCCGAAAAAATTAAGAAAATCGGTTGATAAACAAGCGAGAAATGAACTTATCAGTGCATGAAAATGGTTCTGAGAAAAATGCATTTCAAAATTTTAGTTCTCATAGAAACCAATGGTACAATGATATCTAAAACATAATTTATTCTTCCTTTTAATTTGCTTAGACAATCAACATTGGTTTTTATGAAAGTCTAGCATATTTAGAAAAGATTGACATCGAAAAAAAAATTCAATTTTTTTTTAAAAGTTTTTGTTACCTAAGTGACATCACTAATGTTTCAAAATATTTTTGATAAGCTAAAACATTGGTGTAGCCCATTAAATATGAGATTTTATTATTGAAATAGCGTGGCTTTTGTTCAATCTTTGCATTGGTGTTAAAAAGATAATCTTTTTTGAAATGCACTAAGAAATATTTGATGATTAAGAAATTTCAACTTTTTTTGAAAAATGGCGGGAAATTTGAATATTTGAGAAATGAAATGCTCACAACTTTTTTTTGAAATTTTTTTTTTTGTTCAAAAATCTCTAAAATCACTTTTTAAGTCCTGACAAATATTAAATGAATGAAAAAAATATATTTTCAAACTTTAGACGGGGACTTTAAGAAGTGTAAATTCAGTTCAAAGCTTCAATAAAGGGAGTCCCACTTATAGATTTTTAACATCCATCTCGTTTCAAAAGGAATATCAGCTGAAATAATGTTCATCCACAGGATTTCTTTGAAGATAAAAAATAAATAAATGCTAGTCTTGATGAAATATCCAAACTTAAATATATTTTGACACCGGTGATCATTGAATGGTGCCCCTGCACTAATTGTTGCACCTTTAATTTACATGCAGTCCTCTAGACTATCTTATAATAAAAAAGATACATTTTTTTAGATATTTGCCCATAAATGAAAAAACTGATTTGTAGTGTAAGGTAATTTTAAGTATTTGGATTGATACCTTGCAGCTTTTCCAAGAGTATTTGCCAAGTTGAAATGTATTGTTGGAGCATCAGGTACAATATTCAAAGCTTGTTTACCAATCCCTTCAACCTGCTCTGTCTTGCCTGCAACATATAAATATATGGGGTTCACATGTTGCAATGCATGGGGTTCAATAGTATGTAATGTTTATCAAAATTAGAGGGAATAGTTGAAGTACGAGGAGCAAGTTTTAAGCTTTCAAACTGAAAGTCCTACCTATAGCACTAAAAATATATGGGGGGTTGTTGATTCAAATTATGTAATGTTCACAAAAATAGAATTTAAGTTTCAATAGTAATTTTTTAACCGCTTCAAACTGCTCGGTCCACCCATAACACTGTAAATATATGGGGTCTCATGTTTTAATGCATGGAATTCCATATTATGCAAATATATGGGGGTCACATGTTTCAATGCATGGAATTCCATATTATGTAAAGTTTAGCACAATTCTTGACTCACCAATTTGGTGATTTTGGACATTAATTTATTGATTTTTGTATTTGGTGTAATTGGGGATATTGTGCTGTAAACCTATGTATTTTGCACATCATGTATTTATGTAACCCACCGCTGATTCAAAGTATTCATATCACATGGTGGTGAAGGGTGAGCCTTAACAGCCTCAGTGTGACAGCTCCATTAAAATTGTATATAAAAAGAGCCATTTTTAACCTGCTTTTTCCTATATATGACATTACAAATATGGGGGTACTTACCTAAATTGTCCATTAAAATCATCATGTTATTCCATGATTTTACATGTGTTGGTTGTTGTATTGTTGCATTCCTCCAAGCATCCATCGCTTGTTGGTGTTTTCCAACCTCTAGGTACTATAAGTACAAAAAGGATAAGGGGGTTACACATTGCAATCCAAGGCATTAATTCTATTAACAAGAATGTTGTTAGATTTTGTGCAGTATTTAATTTTATAAAAAAAATTGAAAATGAATAAGAAAAGCCGTTTGATTTATAGTTAGTTAGTAGTTAAATATTTATTATAGTGTCACAGGCTATACAATATACATGATGAAGACAATATGATTTACAAAACAGGTAATAGCCCCCAGCCGTCTCCGGCTTATGAGACACTTTATATCAATGAATTTACTGTGATTGTTGTGATTTATATTTCCTGTTCTACAATTCTTAATTTTTGTCTTCTTTCATAATCCTACTACACATCAGGAAATATGGGAGTTACACATTGTAATCCAAGGCATTCATAAAAAAAAGTTTAGACTTACTAGATTCCCAAGATTATAATAGCAGTCAGGATAACGCCTCCTGTGTTTGAGTGCATTTAAATAGCTAACTTCTGAGGATGCATTTTTCTTCAAGGCTGCTTGCACAATCCCCAGGTTCATCCAGGCAGCTGCAAACTCAGGCCTGGAAATCAGCCATTTTGAATGTGTGGGGTTTACACATTTGAGTATGTGGGGTTTACATATTTGGATTTGTGGGGTTTACCCACTTGATACCTATTTGATTTTATAGATACCTAGTAATAAACACAAAAGGGACACTGGATGATAGTGAAACAATATTGGTTTCTGGCTTTCCCGACAACTAATACCTTCTCCACTTATTTTATTTTTCAAATGTACAGGGTGTCCCTCAACTTCTATGAATTTTAACTGCTTATTGGAAAATAAATTCTATTCATCATGTGACAAGTGACAAATACTCATTTTCATTGACTTGGGTAGAATGTTTTGGGGCACCTGTAACATGAAAGAGCATTCCAAGATTGACTCAATGAAATGTCTTACCTTATGGTTACTGCTTCTATGAGAAGATTCTCAGCTTCTCTCAGATGGCCCTGTTCTTTTAGTATATTAGCCAAGTTGTTCATAGGCTGGTCATACTTTGGACTTAAACTAAGACAAAGAAAATACATGTAAAGAAATTAAAAGGGATCCTGAAAAGATGGGAAAACCTTCATATTGCATACTCGCATAAAGTTATAACTGTACTCATTGAAACCATGACAACAGATATTTGAAATTATGAGTGCATATATATTTTTTGTGCGTACACAATTTGAAAACCGTGATTATACTGACAACTGACATACTTTACTTTTCTGGAGCAGATTTTACTCAATATGCAATTTACTGGCTAAAATAACAACCCTTTTAAAATGGATTTCTGGTAATTTTTGCCTTTTGTGATTTGCTTTGCCATGTTAAGCATTTATTTATTTATTTGACTTCAATATACAAGTTATTTTACAAACTTACGATATGGCTAGTCTGTATTTTTCTATGGCTAAATCAGTGTTCCCTCTATCAGCAGCTATCTTTCCAATGTTATAATGCACCTGAAAAAATAACAGACAATAGCTTTCCAACGGTGTAATTTACTTAAAAAAGCAACAGACAATACATTTTCAAATTTTGTAAGCACCTGAAATAGCAACAGACTTTAAAGTTTTCTGATGTTGTAATGCAACTAGTAACTACAATAACAAGAGACAGTAGCTTTCCAATGGTGTAATTTACTTAAAAAAGCAACAGACAATACATTTTCAAATTTTGTAAGCACCTGAAATAGCAACAGACTTTAAAGTTTTCTGATGTTGTAATGCAACTAGTAACTACAATAACAAGAGACAGTAGCTTTCCAATGGTGTAATTTACTTAAAAAAGCAACAGACAATACATTTTCAAATTTTGTAAGCACCTGAAATAGCAACAGACTTTAAAGTTTTCTGATGTTGTAATGCAACTGGTTACAACATTAACAACAACAACAACAGACAATAGCTTTCCAATTTTGTATGCAAATGATATTCAGATAGTATAGTATATGTGGTAATTCAGCTCTTCTCTCTCCAACCTTAGTGGATTTGTGTAATGTATTAGTGATTACCTTGGCATTTAAGGGACAAACAAAAGCCCCAGAGTTGAATAAATCCACCTCTTTACGCCACTCAGAGCTTCTCTGAAAGACAGAAATGTGTGGAGTTACATGTTGCAATGCAGGGGGTTCCATAAGTATGTCATGTTAACGAAAATGTATATTTTGCTTGAAAATAGTTAAGGAATACTTTGACTCATACAGACGAGTTGCATTAGAAGGAACATGCTAATGAACTAGATATTCATTTTGAGAAAATGTTCTGCTCTATTTATCTCCATGACAGTCACTATTTATTTACTAATTTCACTTTTATCAACACAGGAATAAATACAACATTTTTTATTAAAAATATGTTTTATTCAAAGTTAAGTCGAGAGGATAATAAAACATCAATTCAACTCTTCAAAAATCATTGTTTAGGACCCCACTTCACCACATTTTTAAAAATGTCAGATCTATGCACTATGATATGAAGTCTTGTAAAATTTTCATTAAAATTCTGCACTCACTTGGATGGACTTGATAGCTAATGCAGCAAGTAGTAATATAACAGCACCAGTGATTAACTGAAATACATACATACAAGTACTGTGCATACAATAAAACCTGTGTAAGATGGACATCCTTAGTGGAACACCTGCAAAGTAGAGGTTTTTTGTCATATATATGTATAGATGCAAAATATGGTTACTGACTTAGCCATTTTGTCTGTTTGACTCCTAAAATTCGATAAGAATCCGATAATCCTGTACATGTAAAAGTTTGTTGTCAGACTCAGATACCAGTCATTCATATCTGATCTATGTATTCAAGAAATTATGGGAATTCCAAAGTTATGAAGAATGTCACTCCCAGCTAGCCCTAAGGCCTACATTTGCAGCTCATGTACATGCAAACATTAATTTAAATAATATTTTTAATTATTACAACAATGATGCCAGTATAAATATAGAAATGAAGCTAGTAAATGAGAATGTTCCATGCCAAAATCCAATTACACATTACATAGGTATAGTATAGTATACAGGGTGTCAAAAAACAACGGCACCCCCCTCTACAGCAAAAAGTCCTGAATGTTCCATATTGTGTCATACATCATTTGAAAGATAATTTAATTCTGGAGTTACTCCCCAAATTTCATTTAATAAAACTTTATATTAAAAAAGCTACATTGTTTTTAAGTTTGCTACTTTGGTACTTTATTTGCTGCTCTGTTACTTGTTAAAGGCCAAATCTTCAGAAAGTGGAATATGAAAGAATTAGCTCAGATTTCAACTGCACTGAACATATGGGTTCAGTTCTGAAAAACTGGGTATAGGAACTGATGGACGAAGAGCCTCTTGAAAAAAGATACAGTGGGGATGTATTTCTGAAGAATTTGAGGAAAGTGCTTAAAGGATTATGCAATGCTACACCTTTATCTGAATTTTCATTGAAATCATATCCGTCCAGATAAGCTGCTGTTTGAGCAGCAACTGGTGGTCATACTAACTACTATGAATCCGCTGTAAATCTGTAAAATTATATGATATAAAGCTGAAATTTCTCAGGTAACTCCAGAATTAAATTGTCTTTAAAATGAGATATGACACACCATGTAATAGTAAGTACTTTTTGCTGTAGAGGGGGGGTGCCTTGTTTTTTGACACCCTGTACATCCAAATATTAATTATTTGTAGTTGATGATGGTTCACATACAGGAAAACTACCAGTAATCAAGTGGTACACCTCTAGGCCCCAAAAAGGACTATAAGGGGACTTTCTTGTATTAGTAGAACAGTAGTAGAACTAGTAGTAAATCAAGAATTTTTGAAATTAGAGCATTTTTTCGTGAACTTATTGAACAACCTGGTACAAACAAAATAATTTCAATTATTTTAATGGCAGTAAATCTGTGTAAGAGGAACACTCCTGGTACCATAAAAGAAGTGTTCAACTAAAGAGGTGTACCACTTGAATACCGGTAGTTTTCCTGAGAGCATTTTTCTGTGAACTTATTGAACGACCTGGTATAATACAATAGGATGTTTCATACACTGAAACACTTTATTAGTTTAGTATACAGTTTCTGGTGCTTTTTCCAAAGATAAAAGTTTGCTTTATTCTTTGCTAATTGCACTTTGTCTCTGCTTCAAAGTATCACCACATTGGTATATTTAATATAAAGAAACAAAATCCTTAAATAAAATGCCATGCAAATTGAATATCTGTTTTTCTTCAAACTAAATATAATTTAAATATTTCTCTACTAATAAAAACACATGAAGAGTACAAATTTCATTCTCATCATTTTTTGCCTTCAAAACCAACCATTTTGTCACAATTTTGCAAACAAATTTAAAATAGGGCTCAAATGACCTTGAGAGAGATGGGTGCTTCAAACCTAGGTCCTAAACAAATAATTTTTTTCATAGTTTGTTACCTAACTAAAACCTAACCTAATAAAAAAATAAAATAAAAAAGCTACATACTTTTTTCTGTTTGATATTTTGAGTGACAACATCGAGTCCTATAATGCATAGCATGCAATAGCCAATCGATGGCAGGAAGAGCGCTCGTTCCGCTATTACGAAACCAACACGGAAAAATAAATTACTTGCAGGAAGAAATGGCACTATCAGCACTGTGAGAGACATGGATATGACTCTAAAATAAAAATAAATAAATAATATAAATAAATAATATATAATTATATTGGAATTAAACAATTTGAAGCTTACAATATATAAACAAGGCATTAACATGCAAAATGTTACCACCTGCCATTTGTTACAGATGCAATACAAAGACGCTGAACCGCAAACATTGACTGCTGAACACCATCCACAAAAAAGTTGGAGACTATAACAATATGTCATCACGTGCAGTGGTGACATAATAAATGAAAATAAAAAACATGTATATGATATATATGTTAACTATTATGGTACCTGATTTCAAGCATTGCTATAATAACACATCTGTTTATGTAGATACTTGAGTCTTTGAATTTTTTGGCAGAATATCGAAATTCTATGTTTGGGGGAAAAATGTTGAATAACTTTTTGTAACATAATCTGAGCCTATTATATGTTACCATGACAACGCTGATATCTAAACCTGGTATTGGTGGTACATCTGAAATAACCTATATGACTAACTATTGCTACCATGACGACAGAGTAGATATATGAATGGTATGGGTGTCAAATCAGCTTATTTAGTTGTCATGACAACATGACTATATGGCCCTGATTCACTACCTGGACCTAGTACTAATTTACCTTGAGTTGGGCCCTGACTGAGCTGCTTTGTAAAGTAAGCAACTTAGCCCAATGATGAAAGTAAAAGCAATGGAGATTCTAAGATCAAAGATTGAGTATATGACGGGAATACAACCCATCGACCAATCGAAACACAGCCAGGCAGGAAATACTAAAATCCAGCAGTTTAATGCATATATGTAGTTGTAGTTTAAAACCTGAAAAAAGAAAAAGAATTCTTTTACTTATTTTATTGAGCCTAGAAAGTAACAGTTTACACCATTATGAATAATTTTATAGTTTTCTCAATTAACAAAATAAGTCAAGCTTTATTGGAATCAATGGTATATTATTCGGTCAAAATCCACTAAAACTTCACATGTACATAACTGTCATTGATACAACAAATTTAATACATATAAACTATATATTTTAAACTTTTTGAAATAATGAATAGGCTACTTAAAAGGGTACTTGTGTACTTACTCTTAAAATAGTGTTATTTACAAATGAATGTGGATTGTCCACAATTTGAAATATAGGTGGCTCTGATCCCATGACCCACATCCTGGTACTTAAGATGGCCACCCCAACCAATAGCAGATAAAATTGACGCCTCAACAGAGACTGAATATGTTTCTGAAAAACAATAATAAATGATTATGTGAAATTTCTAAAAATGTATATGACAGTCTCCGAGCCTTTCGTCCAGTGCCATCCGTACCTCCTGTGCCTTACCTCATGCAGTTGTTTAAATTCCCGCGAAATTTACCTTTCTAAATATTTTGACCTGCTTCAAAAATATATATTTCTTTGCGTTTGCTACTGATCTTATTCGTTATATTTAATAAAATGTTTATTTCTTATGTAGTAAGAATTCATTTATAAGAAAAATGTTAAGAAATTCGTAACAAACTGTTAAAAATGAATACTGAGGAATTTGCAAGGTCAGAAACCGTTGCTATGCAGTTCGTTTTGAAGTGACGTCATCCCCATATTCGTAATTTTAATCGTCTAATAAACGAATACAACATGTCGATGTGATGTTTTAATCGATAAAAATTGGGTTTCTTACATATTTCTCTATCTTGTTACTAGATAACAAGTTATGATATTGATGAAATCGCCAGAAATCAACATAATATTATTTGAAGCGTTTTTAGAAAATTTTGACACCGCCATCTTGAAATCGTGTAGTAATGTTTGAACCCAGTGATTATCAATCTTGACATTTTACAATTTGTTGCTCCGCGGAGATTTTTACCTAAAGACACATCAAATACAACATTGATTACCAATTTTGATGGTAAAATCATTTGTAAACGTCATGATTAATGTTATATTAAAGTTTTGGCGTTGTTGATTTCGTAATAAAGAAAGTACTAATTTCTGAAGCTTTCTAAGATCGTGCCCCGGGAATTTTAGAACTATTTTAACAACGTCAGAGAGGTAGTGAAGGTACGCAACGAACGAAATGAATTTTGAGAATGTGTATATGAGCTATAAAAATATACATCAGGTGTGCACAATGAAGGAATGATTCAACTTTAATCAAAATGAGTTCGAAAAATACACATTGATAATTATCCTTTTTATCAACAAATTTAAAAAAGGCCACCAAGAAATTAAACTATATAGCATGTCCAAAACCTAAACAGATCTTGGGTCTTCACTTTCAAAATTAATTCAAATTGTACGAGTAGTTTATAAGGAGTTTTTCTTGGAATTTTGATGCATGTCCAGCAGCGCCAGACATCGACAATATAGCACTTTCAAAAAGTGGGATAAAATATGAAAAAGTATTTGCTACTAATCATATTTTTGGACCTTTTCACAATATTGCTGCCAACTTAATTTGGTAGATTTTAGTATGTACAGTACTAACACGACGATGTGCCCATTGATTATTAAGACAAAGATCAGTGAGATTCTTTAATTAATTAAAAGTATGTCTAACATGACAGTATTGTTTCTATTGAAATTACCACATGCAGAAATGTTCATGCAAGGCATTGGAATTAACAACAACAATGTGGGAATAATTAAATTCATGATTAATTTCGTGATTAATTTCTTACTTTGAATAATAATTAATATATTGCCTTCATGAGTTACATGGCCTCTGAGTTACATGAACGTGAAAAGAAACAACTTCTCCCTCCCCCTCCAATCGAGAACCAATATCACAATCCAGGACCAGAACACATTTGTTAACTAAGAAACTGGTTTAGATCCAAGATAGCTCTCTTGACAAGTTTATCCTTAGTTAAGATGGGTCTATTCTAATTACTTCTGGACCTCAGTTTAAAAGTCATTAGCTCAGTCATTAGTCATCAGTTTTCTCCTCAGAATATTTAAGCCAAAAAAGTTGAAAATACATCGATTTTTCATTTTAGCACAAATGGGTTTTTGTTGGGTGCATTGTCTGTTTTCAAAATCTCAAGTGGATGCACTGCCAACTTGCTTCAAGCTGAGGGATCACACTGTGATCAGACCGATGGGAGCCGAGTGAACGAAGATGGAGGGATACTGATGATAAAAATTATGCAAATGTTCATGTAATAGCTCCCAAGTTCTAGACTTATTCTTCTATTCAGACAGTAGTTTATCTAACATCACGTTTCATTTTAAATGAATTTGACGATTAATCTTAATAAACAATACAACATACAAACATGACAGTAGCCTACACAAACATGACAATTGGGCAGATATTCTAATTACAGTATAATAGTAACTTTAATAAGTATCATGTATTCAACTATTGTCCATTTAGGTTCCTCTTTGCCATGGTTCTTTCAATGGAGATATTAATTAATATGGTCTTATAAAGGATCTTTTGTCGTAGTTCTTTCAAAGGAGATATTAATGCCTAATATGGTCTCATAAAGGATCTTTTGTTATTGTCAATGATCATGAAATTCGTGAGGGAATTTAATCAGTCTTTTAATTCAATTTGTGTGCTGAAAGCTGTGACATCAACAGGTTCTCCTGTTAGGGGGCATTTCAATGTTTAATGTACAGTTAAACCTGTCTTAGTGAACACATCTCTCTAGTGAACATGAATGTCTAGTGAACACCCCTCTCTCAGCACAAACTCCACTAACTATTGTATAAAATCACGTCTCTGTTGTGAACACCTGCCTACAGTGAACACTTGTGGCTCCATAGGTGTTCACTGTATACAGGTTTCACTTTATTTAATCAAGGGTACACATATATTTAAGTCAAATCTTTGTGATTGGTTCCTGTCGATGCTTATGTATTTGACAGAGACACAGCTCGCAGCTCTGGGATTGAGGCACTCTAAAAGGTAAGCCAATCTTAAAATTATTATGACTGTTTAAATTTTAAAGGCCCTGCACAATTTATGATGCAGGGTGACCTGCACAATTTATGATGCAGAGTGACCTGCACAATTTATGATGCAGAGTGACCTGTGCAATTTATGATGCAGGGTGAAATAAATTGCAATTTTATTTCAATTTTTTGTTGTTGATATATGATTGGAAATTCGAATATTTGAAAACTATGTTGACTTTTTTCAAACATGTCTAAAATACTATTATATGTTCTTCATGAAGAATTAATCTTAACAAATTGTGTTTTTGAAGCATTAAGCAACCAAAACTAAATGGAGAAAATGCATTAAGCAACCAAAGATAATGGAGAAAATGAGACATTCAAAATTGTTATAGTTTTACAATATTCCATCCAGGAATATTTTAGAAATATTTTTTACTTTAACGATAAAGAGGAATTTTTATTGAAAATCATCCCAATTTTTCAAATTCCTAACTTTAGAACAGTTGTACACTTAGACATTTCCTTCATTAAAAATACTGTATGAATCATTTATTTATATTAAAAGTGTATCAATAACCTTTACAAAATTGAAAAAGGCAGATAAATAAAATTCAATTTGGAAATTAAGTTGGTCAACAATGCTTTTCAAACTTAGATATTCTAAAAGACCAAGAAAGTTTGTACAAAAGTTTACTGAAGGAGCAAGTTACAGATCATTTTGTGCTTTTTGAAAACATTTTAGGGTAATTTAAGATCAGACATTGCCCTTTTATCATTATTAAGAATATTTTATTGTAGCTGCAAAAAATCACTTTTTTTATGTATTGGATATATGTAAATAAATATTCAAAAAAAATTGGAAAGAATATTTGTCTATGTTTTATTTAAGTCCTCTCCTATACATTTCCCTTTTATAATATCTTTATAGATAAATAAGTGAAATCCAGGAAAACAACATGAGTTTGCTTAACATCGTCATAACAACCCTTATAATGGTTATCTCCATGGTACACGCAAGTTCTATGTTGATGGAACAAACGTATCCTTGTAACGCATCACAGATATCATGTAAAGGGAGATGTGGCATCCCCCAGAGCAGAGATATGGGAGGTTACTATTGCAACTGCGATTACCCTGAGTGCAATTACTATGGAGACTGTTGTGATGATTTCGATGACACATGCCCCATTGACAACGATGACAGTAACCCGAGCGTACTCCTTGAAAAGAATACATTTGAGTGTATAGATGTCGCTGTCACTCATGGTGTTTTTGTGAGATCAAAGTGCAGAGATCAAGCCAACATGGACTCCTCTACAATAAATGCATGTGAAAATGCAAATCGAACCGAGCCACTGTTTTTGACCCCCGTGACTGATACAAGCAACGGCGAGACCTACAGGAACTTATTTTGCGCGAAATGCAATGATGCTAATAGCGAAAATATAATTTTCTGGAAACCGAAAATCTTTTGTGAGTCAACAATTAATCGACAAATATCAGAGCAGTTTCAGATAACGGATATTAGTGGAGATTCATTATGGGAACTTCCTTTTACACATCCAAATTTATGTCAAGTAAGTCAAAAATTGTGTAATTGGCAAAATTGTAAATATGTTTATTCTTAGACAGTGCGTCCCACTGGTTTTGTGTTTTTGCTTGTTTGCTTTTTTGAAGCACATTGTATACTTTTGACTTCAGAGATGATCTTATTTTTGGGCTTTCTTTCTTATTTCCAACGAATTTGAGCCAAAATTGTCGAATTTGATCCCACTCTTGCTTTTTCAAAAATTACACCCCTTTTGGCAAAATCTGGCATACCCTAACCCTTATATTTTTAATGCTTCCAGGTGAACTACACTATTGACACCAGCTACCCCTACCCAAGATCCTGCATCTCGCAAGACATGAACAACTGTAAAAAGGTTTGTAATTTTACATTACCCTGTATCCCCGCAACCTGACTACAATACACTCTAATGATGATTTTACAGTTTTAATGCTGATCTCAACCAGAACAACGGCAACGCCAAAGCGTAGCGAATCCCATCAAACAGCCATGGATGGCATTTTTACAAACAAAGTATATAGCAAAAATGGCAGGCATTTTTCAAAATGGCCGCCTTCTACCAAAAGTGTCATTAGACCATTTGCCATACTTATAGTATTCACATACCAAATATGAACAAAATCGCTCCACTACTTTTCGAGTTATAGTAAAATACGTTAAAATGGCGGCCATTTTTCAAAATGGCCGCCTTATACCAAAAGTGTCATTAGACAGTGTGCCATCCTTATAGTATTCACATACCAAATATGAACAAAATCGCTTCACTACTTTTCGAGTTATAGTAAAATAGGTTAAAATGGAGGCCATTTTTCAAAATGGCGGCCATTTTTAAAATGGCCACCTTCTATCAAAAGCGTCTTTAGACAGTGTGCAATGTTTATAGTATTCACATACCAAATATGAACAAAATTGCTCCACTACTTTTCGAGTTACAGCAAAAATCGTAAAATAACGAGTACAGGCCGCCATTTTACAAGATTGCTGCCATGTACTTCTTTAATATCTACATTTCTAGCTTTATTAATGTCCTATATAATTTTTTTACATCTAAAACATATTGCTATTACAGTTTTACATATTGCACCTAAATTACTGTAAATTCAGCACTAAAATGGCGGCCATTTTGAAAATCAGCTTTCGAGCAGAACTTCTACCCCCATAGGGTATATGTGTACAAAATATGAACAAAATCGGGCCAACGGTATTTGAGTTATTGCCCGGACGAATGGACATACGGACGGACGGACGGACGGACGGAGGTGTTCCCTATATCCCTCAGAACTTCGTTCGATGGGATAATAAACTCAAATGGAGCCTATTATGGGAGATTGAAAGTATTGTGGTTGACCAACTCTATATTTTGATTGGTTAGATTAATGAATCAATACAATTAAAGAGTAGAGATGACGTTAATGCCTTGGTCACATTTGTTCCGATTTTAACTATGGCGCCCAGCCGATTGAGTATTTTGCTCAAAATTGAATACAATATTGAACCAGAACAATGGCAACGCAAAAGCGTAGCGAATCCCATCGAACAGAAATGGCTGGCATTTTTACACCTTTAAAATTTTTGAAAAATCGCACACATATACTTGTAAAATAACACACATAAAAATGGTGGCCATTTTTCAAAATGGCCGACTACTCCCCAAAGTTTTATTAGACAATGTGCCATGCTTAAAGTATTCACATATCAAATATGAACAAAATTGCTCCACTACTTTTCGAGTTATAGTAAAATACGTTAAAATGGCTGCCATTTTTCAAAATGGCCACCTTCTACCAAAAGTGTCACTAGAAATAGACAGTGTGCCATGCTTATAGTATTCACATACCAAATATGAACAAAATCACTTCACTACTTTTCGAGTTATGGTAAAATACGTTAAATAGCAGGCATTTTTCAAAATGGCCGCCTTCTACCAAAAGTGTCATTAGACCATTTGCCATACTTATAGTATTCACATACCAAATATGAACAAAATCGCTCCACTACTTTTCGAGTTATAGTAAAATATGTTAAAATGGCGGCCATTTTTCAAAATGGCCGCCTTCTACCAAAAGTGTCATAGGACAGTGTGCCATGCTTAAAGTATTCACATACCAAATATGAACAAAATCGCTCCACTACTTTTCGAGTCATAGTAAAGTACATTGAAATGGCGGCCATTTTTTCACTTTTTTTTTCAAAATGGCCGCCTTCTACCAAAGGTGTCATACGACAGTGTGCCATGCTTATAGTATTCACATATCAAATATGAACAAAATCGCTCCACTACTTTTCGAGTTATAGTAAAATACTTTAAAATGGCGGCCATTTTTCAAAATGGCCGCTTTCTACCAAAAGTGTCTTTAGACAGTGTGCAATGCTTATAGTATTCACATACCAAATATGAACAAAATCGCTCCACTATTTTTTGAGTTACAGCAAAAATCGTAAAATGATGAGTAAAGGCCGCCATTTTTCAAGATGGCTGCCATGTGCTTCTTTAATATCTACATTTGTAGCATTATTAATGTCCTTTATAATTTTTCTAAATTTAAAACATATTGCTATTACAGCTTTACATATTGCAACTAAATTACTGTAAAATCCGCACTAAAATGGCGGCCATTTTGAAATGAGTGGCCATTTTGAAAATCAGCTTTCGAGCAGAACTTCTACACCCATATGGTATATGTGTACAAAATATGAACAAAATCGGGCCAACGGTATCTGAGTTATTGCCCGGTCGGACAGAGGCGTTCCCTATATCCCTCCGAACTTCGTTCGATGGGAAAACAAAACACTCAATCGGCCGGGCCGATGGATCGGAGCATATGTGGCCACGGCATAAGCCCATAAAAAGGCTATTTTACATGTATATACAGGGTGGGCCAAAAAACACTTTTTCAAAATGCTATTTCTTCTAAAATTTTTCATCATACCAAATGAACCTTGAAGATGCAATCTAGACATGGATTATGAATTCTACACTTTTACTTGAATGAAATATGTCACCAGCGTCTCACTTAAACATATGGAATTAAATGAGAAAGGATGGTATTGATATGGTGAACTTTTTGAACACACAACTTTCTCTTAAACCAATTCATCAAAAATTTCAGAAAAGTTTACACATCGTCAATTTAATGGTCCTCTTTTGAATGGTAACAATATAACTTAAAATAAACATACCGGTATATACTTTTCTCTTAATTGTTGTCAATCAGTCACAATTACATAAAGAACCGTGTTTTTTACAGAACAGTTTTCAATAATTGGTTTAAGAGAAAAACATTGTTGAATTCAGTTCATCATATCGATACCTATCCTTTGCATAATGTACCTGAACTGATACGGCCTGATGACCACCAAGCTAATAGTCCTGATATAAACCCCAGTGAGTATAGGGTATGGGAAGGTCTCCAGGAGATGGTATAAAGGCATCAAATCTCAAAAAATGCTCAACTAAAGCTGGCAATTAAGAGAGGTTGAAAGAAACTTGGTCAATATTTCATTGCTACTGCTATATCAGCATGGCAACTAAGACTTAAGGCTATTTTTTTTATTCATAGAATTTATTTTACAAAAAAATAAAGTACATGAACATTATACATAAGGCTATCATCAAAGAGGGTGGCGGACCAATTGAACTCCTCTTTTAGATCAAATACAATCTAAGTTTAAGGACTTATTACATTATTTCATTACTTAGGACCCCTGGCACTACATAACTGCAAAATTTGGTGTATGGAGGTTGGGATATGAAAATGAGTTGGGATACGAGTTTTGAAAAAAAGTGGCATTGGGATTTTTTGGCCCACCCTATAGGCCTATATGTATATATATAATATATATGGGCCACGCCATATGAAAACGGGTCTTATCACAAAAATTAAAATTGTGCTCTGTAACAGAGCCAAAAAGTGCTCAAGAGTACTTGGAAAGTGTGCTAAATTCAAATCCATCTTTTTGGTCTATATCTGCGTAAAAAATGGCTGAGACATAAGCCATGACTCATTTGAAATAGGTCTCTTTGTGCTTTTTAAGATAAACAAAAAATCAAGATATTGAAAAAATCAGTGATAAGACCCCTATTCCTGTGGCCTGGCTCATATATATATTCTATTTCAAATTTGACTGTACTATTATATTAACTCAAATAAATTGTGTAATTTACCGCCATTTACCTACATGTAGATGGATTTCCATTTACCCATCACATCATATAGGGTAGATTTTTTCAATTTCTCATTCTTGTTTTGTTTTGAATAAGAAGATTAAAACAACAAATCCATCACAAAAGCAATGAATTTTCGACAAAATAATTAAACAGTGAAAAGACTATCTCTGCATGACGTTTTGGAGTGCAATTCTTCAGAGTCCCCAATACACACATGGAAGTGTTTTTACAGCCATATCAAGATAGAAATAGGGTTGGAATAAATACACCTTTCAAGAGTGCACTTTCAAATTTTGACCCCAGTTAATTTCACTTATTTTTTATACAGGGGAATGGATCAATAGTTTTCCTCGAAGAGCCTGATGGTTTAAACATGCTAACCTTTGACATACTCATGAGGTGGGAAAAACCCGGAAAAGTTCAACTCTCAACTGGAAACATTTCGGGTATACTTGGACAATGGAACAGCCTTGAATTAGAATGTTCCGTTGAAGGATGTGATTCTACTTCCTGTTGCGATGTCATTTCCTGTCCAGATTTCCATATACTTAAACAAGGTAGTTGCGTTTATAATGGTGTACTTGTTGAGGTCCAATATGAAATGAACCTTTTAATGTCAGCTGAAACCTACCAGACACTTAGTGTTAGATTTGAAGAACACCGAATTCTCGCAAGCTTTGATGATGTGTTACCGATTTATGGTGCGACAAATTTGGAAGGCGAATGTAAGGAGCTGGTTTCATTTGGTGTGACGAGAATAACTTGTAACTATGTATTCTTGGTGACATATAAAGTTCCATGTCACCAATTTGGACTCATGAACATTAACTGTCAGGAAAACAGTACCCGACTGCAGCAGATAATAGAGGGCGCTATAGAACATGTGGAGGCATACTTCCTGCAGGACATGGTGGCTGTTTCGACAACAAACTGGTTCATAGTTAAAGTGGTTGACAAATCGCAAGATCAACAGATATCAAGAAATGTTTCTGGGGATGCTACACGAAAGAAACTTCAATTTTGGATGTGTTCTTGTTGGTTGGCTCTGAGTATGACCCTCAAATAAAATTCTGCATGAAAAAAATCAGGCACATAATAAGCCTTATGTAAAATTTTCACAAATATTTTGTGTTGTTGGAATATGACCTGTAGCGACCCCCCCCCCCCCCGGCCAAAAATCTATAAAAATCATGTAGATTTTCACTTTTCTGAGCACTTTTCAAGGGATTTTTGCCATTTTTGGGCCAGAGTTGTCAGAAGCATTCCCCCCCTGGAATTTCTTAAAAAGTGAACCCCCTAGGCAAATCCTGGCTCGGGCCTGGTAAATGTTTGTATATTACATGGGTCCTAGCTTATGAAATATTTTCTAAGCAACAGGACAATTTTATCAGATTTAGACTGAACGTTTGAATAACTGGAATTTAGCGCAATAAACTATTTCCTAACTGAATGAACATTATACTACAAGTGCTTTTAATCAGATTAAGACATCTTGGAATGCCGCGTGTAGTGTAAATAGGACTAATATTATTCATATTTTGACTGCTGAGGAAGCTTGAACACAACCAAAACATTCCTAATGACCGTCTTTCAACGAAAAACTTGGTCCAAAAAGAACCTTATTGAAATATTTTTACTACAACAATATGTCACCACAATTAGTCTTCATATGTATATTGCTCCACTGCAAGAGTATCGCGTTTGAATAATGGCTACCAATTTTCCCTGTTTTAGACTCTTTAGCCCTTTTACCTCTCAAGTAGAACACTACTTTGAGGAATCAAAGTCATTCCCTGAATACAGGTTCTACTGAGCTTACCTTTCTTATATGTAGTTACTTACTTGGTTAAAAAAATGACTTGAGTTAAAAGTAAGGACTGTTTCCATGGATACTCCATTGACCACTAAAATATCGAAGGCACTGCATACACCCTGGAGCAAAAAGATCAATATTTAAAGAGTTAACATAATATGCAAAATGTCACCATCTGTCATTTGTTATAGATGCCAAATGTAGAACACCAACTGCCAGACACCAAACGCCAACTGCCAAACACCAACTACCAGACACCAAATGCCAACTGCCAAACACCATCCACAAAAAAAGTCTAAGACTATAACAATATGTCACCACAATTAGCCTTGATATGTGAAATTAACATCATATAGTTTCGGCTGCAACTGATATAGTGTTAGAATGCTACATATAAATAGTGATATATCTAAATTTTAATCTTTTTTAAATCATAATTAAAAATTAATTTTTAAAACAAATTGTGGAGTGGGACCAGGATGGATACAGTTTGTATTCGTGAACCTCAGCAAAAGGAGGATTAGATACAGAGAAAAAATCCAACCTCCTCTCTAGGATACACTACAGTGATCTCCTCAGCATTAAAGCAAGTGGGCACAGCACCCACCTGAGATTTTAAAAACAGACTTGCCCCCAGTCCCTCGGGGAGATATAGAGATTATCCTATATGAGGTTCAGGATATTGGGATTATCCCGAGGCTTATATAATATATTTGCCCGAGGGCCGCAGGTCCGAGGGAAAATATATTATATTGGCCAAGCACGACGGCAGATTTCGCAGCCCCAGCTGGCCATTTCAATTTATGCTTTTGACGCACGGAGTAATTGATAGATAGCGCTGTTTTTATAAAATCGATAATCACGTGATAATAAACTGTACCAATTCGAGGAAAACTACGTCACATATTACGTAGGCGAAATGTACATGCAAATCTTTAAATCTGTACTGTACAGCCGAAAATACATTTTAATCCAGTCCAGCTGTTTGTTAGAGCATGAACTAGGCCTATACTGCAGTACTGTAAGTGTTAATTCGTTCGTACTGATGAGGAAATCTAACTGGGCCATATGGGACAAAATCCCGGGATTAAATAATAAGTACGCCATCTTGTTTTTTAGCCCTCGCGTGATAGGGATATTTAGACTCTTGATCTCCCATGAAATTGTTAAGTGAGATAAATTAACAAAGTTGATTTTTTGATGAATCAAAGATCAAAAACAATTTCTGTGATTTTAATTTTTTAAATAAAACCATAAATTTCTCAAAAGAACATCATAAAAGCGACGTATTACCCGCGTAATTCTACCTTATCTTTCACAGAATGTAACTTGAGAACGAAATGACGCCCGGAAAAACGGTAAAAAGCACAACAAACCTTGAAAAAAGTTGAATTCTGTACAGAAATCTTGCAAACGGAAGTCATTCTATGACAGAGTAATCACCGTTCCTACGGGGACTAAATACTCGAAAATATGTTACAGCGACATCTATAAAATAGTATGAAAACCTTTTCATGTGGCCAGATCAGAGCACCAAATCGGACATCGTGAAGGGATAATCCCAATATCCTGAACCAACTATTGGATAATCTCTATATATCCCTCGGGATATACCCTATATCCAAAACCTCCCAGTACATAACCCATAAATATATACTCACAATGACTGTGATTGCCTGTTCTTTGCACAGCACCCCTATCGCTGTGATACCCCCGCAGAGCAGTAACCATGACAACTTAGACTTTGAGGAAGGATCACCTAAACAAATTAGAATATTAATATCACAATAAGTCAAGGGTTATATAGGATGTGATTCTATATACATGTATGGTACATGTAGTTACCATAGCAACTATAATTTATAGGATGGAGTTCATAGATCATTGATTTCAAATAACACAAGATTTATAGGGCCGATACAAAATTCATATTTGGTCAAAGCAGTTGAATATTTAAAATGACTGACTCGATCAAGTGGTATTACTCAAAACTCCCTGAAAAACAGGCAGTTCACAGAGAAAAAACAAATGACAGGCATGTCCATCATAGCTGTTGTAAAACTTAAATGATATTTTTCATTGCATACCTTCCTGTTCTATAGATTGCTTGTATGCAAGAAATCCAAGGCAGAAACATATGGCACAAAGGAGGTCTGCTCTACCCACAATTCCAGCAACCTAAAAATAAATTAAAAAACAAACTTTGCATTATTTTTGTATTTTGTAATTCAGGCCGTCCAATAGCCTTGCCCAAGTCGGTATTTTTTACTTATCTGATCTTGGATTATTACCGCCTTGTACAATCCAATACATCTCCGCTGTTATTATGCTGAAATATTCAACGGTTTCGAGATTTTCATAATACCTACGCTATCAGGGGTATCGCGAAACCTTATTGATTGACAGATAACGCGTGGACACGACGTGTGACTTCAGGCTGAATGACCAATCAAAACGTTATTAGGTTGAGCTGCATAAACAAAACAAACTTCCCATCTACGACTTGAAATTCAATGATCTGATCGAGTGTTTCTTTAGAGTTACAATATATTATGTAATTAAATGTACACTGGAAGGTAAGAGTCATTAATATAAATTAAATCATGCGATTCAATGTTGATTTAAAACTGATATCGCGATGAAAATGCACGAAGACCTAGTCCAATGTAGCGGGTCATGTTGTCGATCGATCGGTGATTGAATCTCTACATGTTCAGCGATCGTTTCAACGTTTATTGTTGAAATCTTCTCACCTTTGGTTATCCGATAGATGTCCCGGCATCCACTAAACTCTCATTGATATTTATCTGATAAAATATCTGTATTTTCATGATGAATTCGTGATCAGATTCGTGCAAGATTTGTTCGTGAAAAGTCCCGGTGAAAAGTGTACTTGTTTTTGACCTTGCATAATAATGAGCTAACGCTACAGGGCCGTCGTTGATTGGTCAAATTTTACCGACATCAACAAACTGTCGGTAAAGCACGTGGCTTTCTCTTTCTCCGTCATAATAGAAATCAAGATAAGTAAAAGAGACCGACTTGGGCAAGGCTTGCCGTCAAACTGTCCCGCAATTTCAAAAAAAGTGATTGCCCATACAGCACAAAACCGAACACCAAAAACACAATTTGAAGAAAGGTGTTCAACATTTGTAAGTCACTCATGTTAGGTGTTCCTAAGTTGACAGGCCTGGTAATTCAACTGGGCTATTTTTAAATGGATTCAAAGAAAATGTAACAGTAAGGACCAAATATATCCTATCGGGTGTGAACAACTCAAATCAGGCAAAAACATCCAATTACATGTTGCACAAGACTGGTCTTAATATTTTTCAGTTTCAAGTGATTCAACCTCAAATTTTCAATCAACCTTTTCTGTAAAAATTTGACAAGGTCTCATGCATGAATACAGCTCCTTATACTCCCATGAGTGAATAAAACATACTTATCAGTGAAATCCCCAGGATTTTTTCTCAAGTGGGTGCAAAATTCTCATTTTCACAATTCACACTGAAATTGGTCAAAATATGCCTATTTTTCATGATTTTTCTCATTTTCAAGTGGGTGCAAATGGATTTTAAGGTGGGTGCAAGCCTCTTTTTAAAATCTCAGGTGGGTGCTGCGCCCACTTGCTTTAATGCTGGGAGATAACTGCTTATTATACCACCTCCTATTGGTCAAACAAGTCTGATAACAGTATAGACCTACTTACACATTCTGTGTGCACAGGGTGCACTGCAAACATTAACACTGCCAAAAATGTTGCCTGGTACCTCTGCAGGGTGAAATGTTCAGGCCAGGCCTGAATCAAACTGTGAACTGTAGGAAGTAGAAGACAGCAGAGTAGACCATAGAGTAGGATGTTAGCTATATGGAACCCCCTCGGATGGAGCCCCCCTGATATGTAATGGTTCAACCTGAAATCACATTCAGATTTTGTGAGTAAACACTGCAAATCTCAAACTGCATCAAACAGTGCTGTTTATGAAAAAGTGCTGGACAGCACTGTAAAAACAGTACTGTACATCGCTGTTTTCGAAAAACAGTACTGTACAGCACTGTAAAAACAGTACTGTACAGCGCTGTAAAAACAGTACTATGCTGTTCAAAACAGGTGATGCTAGAATAGCACTGTACATCACTGTATAGCGCAGAACTTGAACGATTGTAGCATTAGTAGCAAAAGTGCCATGAACAACGCTGTACAGCACTGCAAGATGATGTTGCAGATTGGGGGTGTGAGATAAGTTGGTGCTTCTGAAAGGTAAAGGGTCAAAAAGGCAAACAAGGAAAGTACATGCAATATGTAACAACCTGCTATTTGTTACAGATGACAAACTTTGATTGCGGACAACCAGTCATTGAACACCGCTAAAAAAAAGGTGGACGCTATAACAATATGTTACCACCTTGTGACATAAATTATGTTACAATACATTATGCATATGGCATGAATTTTATTTCAGACATTTTGAGTGATGTTTCAATTTTTGTAATTCAGTTAGCAGTACATGAAACTCAAGATATTGCGAGGATCCCAAGACTAAGCCAGGTGCAAATCCCATTTAAAAATAAAAAATCCATCTGCATTAACCATACTCCAAAGAATGTACAAAAATGAGCATGACACAGTCGAAATGTTGACACATGCGCAGACCTCTATTTAGTGATATTTTCATTTCAAATATGGCGGCCAATCCGATGTCTGACGACCCTTACAAAGAATCTAGGCAGTGTGCAATTTTACCTCCTGTGAAATAACAAGTGGAATTTAGTAATTGTTTTGTGTTTTATTATCATTCTGCATCGTAATTCTATGTGATGTGGTGTTGAAATGTCAGCAGAAATACATATCCATACGATAATCGAGTGAATCAGATAACAGATTTTTCGAAAACACGTCTCGTGCTAAGCGTGTAAAAACTTGTATTAACATGCTCAAAAGTGCCAATGAGCACATCAATGTCAAGCTAAATCAATGTTGTGTCTAAAACAGGTACCTGATCTACTCAAAACAGCTTGTCATTCACGTATACACGCTTAGCAAACACGGCGAAATGATCTGAATCTTGGAATTTCGTTTGAGAGCTAGTAATGTTTGCTCCGGTCTTCGTCATAAGTGTTCATCAGACTTCACGCATGCTCAGGAGAAAAACCATCAACCAATCACGTTTATAAATCAATTTTGCGCATGCGCCTTACAACGGTAAAGAAATTTGTATTTATAAACGAACCAATTTGAGATAACCCGATATCAGTCGGAGAAATCTGACGATCTACGAAACTCACTTCAAAAAATCAAATGCGGACTGACGGCGTATTCTACTATGTTTGGATCTAAGATTTTCAGCATAGATAAAGTCTTTTATGATCTTTCGAATGAGGTAAGTCTCTAGTTCGAAAGACAATCGTATCAACTTGAACAAAAGTTGAGTTTTGACGAAAAATCTTAACATGCGCAGAAGTCCCATTTTCGTTGTACCATATTGACTGGACAGTCTGCTAAATTGCAACTGTGAAAATCTCAAGTTAATCAGGCAGGCAGTTAACTTGAATTTTGATAGAAAAGATTTATTTGGCCTCGAGCGCCCAAATGCCCAACTGCAAAGCCGCAGGTGACAACTAAATAGCACTTTGAAAAGGTACAATAAAAAACTAACTAACCTGAATGACAATACTGTCAGTGGCCTATAAGACTTATGAGATGTGTTAGTTGCGATCTTACTTCCCCAGAAGTCATTAGAGAATACGACGGACAGTGGAGTTCCCGAATGCACATCTTTGTTATGTAAAATGGCCTCCATATCGTCAAATACAAAATCACCATCATAGCTATTAATGAAGCAACCGACTGCAGTTACGAAGATGATTGCATAGTAGTAAGGAGGGAGTGCAGGATGTTTGGAAGACTGAGATTTCTGGGATTGTCCTTGAAGTGATGACACTTTGTGTAGTTTGGTATCATCGTAGTTGTTGTTGTTGTTATTGTAGACACGATGCCGTGGGGAATGTTTTGACGATCTATGCTTCTGACGTTCATGCATTTTGTGTTCTGAAAAATAGAAGTGATAGAATAATACATGCATGAACATTCAATAGGGAATGACTATGAATATTTTTATAGATATTGTACTTGGTGAATTGAAAGTTCTAGCTACTGTAAAACCTACATGTATATTGAAAAAATTTTTGCTGAAAAAAGCATCCAGTGTTGGTAGGTGTTTACTACAGAGGTATAATTTATAGAGAAGTCAGTAGAGTATATGGGAGGGAAGGGTGTCCACTAGAGACATGTGTTCACTAGAGAGAGGTGTTCTCTAAAGGGGTGTTTACACTTGCAAGCGAAATGCTTGGAATGGGGGGCAAAACAGGCGCAAGAAGCGAAACAGTAATTTAATTTTTCAAGATGTATCGATTGAATTGATTGAAATGGTTGAAAAGCCCATGTGAAATGATTGAAACAAAAAATGTGCATGTTCATTTTTCTTTTCAATCGTTTCGCCCTTTTCCTCATTTAATTGGTCGTTAGACTGAAATGCTTGAAACGGCGAATCAGGTGCAAACACCGATGGAGCCATCCATGGGCTATCTCATGTCAGATCAGATGATAAATAAGGTTAACTTGTTTAACAAAGGCTTGGGGTAACATAGTATTTCTGGAATTATGACATTACAACGACTCAAAATAGAAATGACTGACTGTAGTCCTGATATTGAAAACTCCCTTTCGTGTCTTGTATCTGGCTCATCACACCACAGCTCTCCAAATGAGCGTGACCTAAGGTCGTTAAAGAGTGACCAAGAAACCACAGACTTGGGGCAATGTTTCTTTCGAAAATTAGTGCCATATAATTTTACCAGGATTGGAAAAAGAAATAAATAAAGCATCTTGGTGACTTATACTTGCATAGCTAGAGAGTCTAATAATCTTATAGCATCCTATCAAATCCTATCAAATTATAGGCCTAACTGTAATTGAATCTTTCTGAACATGTTTCTTCAGGTTGGTAATTAATTTTTATATCCATTACTGTTACGCAACTGTTACTGTTAAATTTATTGTTTATTGAAAACACAGAACAATTGTGTGATCAATTGGGACTCTGTCAGAACATTGGACAATGGGAGCAATAGAGATATTAGATGGATTAAGGACAGGGTGCATGTTGGGAAATTTTCGGAATTCCTCAATTGAGTCACATGTTATTTTTCAAACAAGAATAACTCCTTCTCCACATTGCCTACATCTTCCAGGTTTGCACAAAGAGTGCACTTATGTGCCTAGAAAAGCCTTGTGAGAAGATTTGTTTTGTAAATTGTATAAAAAAGAGAAAATTCAGTGAAAACAATTTCTGAAAATTTTCTGAATTTTTTCACTGAATTTTCTTGCTTTTTATACACTTTATCAAAACATCCTTCTCACAAGTCTTTTCTAGGCACATAAGAGCACTCTTTGTGCAAAACTGGAAGATATAGACAATGTGGGGAAGGAGTGATTCTTGTTTGAAAAATAACATGTGACTCAATTGAGGAGTGCAGAAAATTTCCCATCATGCACCCTGAACTTAAGGAATTAATTTTTACAAGAAAAAACAGTAATAGTATGGACAGGGACTGTGGAATTTTCAAACTCTCACATGTTTGGGACCCTATTTTATGTAAAGATCAGCACCATGGTGATAAGGATCGTTCTGACGTCACAAGATAAGATATTGGGTCCAACGCCAGAAGTTAAAATTCTGAAGAAGAAACACGAAGTGTTTTCGAAATGTCAATAAACAAGGTTGCGTTAAACAGTGACAGTTATGGATATAAAAATGTTATTGAATCTATTAGCCTCATTTGACTGTTTATTGTTGACAGGAAAGATCCAGTCAGAATTTTGGCAATAGATGGCGTTTTCAGAATTATTTACATCAGTCTATAGGCTGGCCAATCAAATAGCATGATATGATCACATGATCGATCACAAGCATACATTTTCCAAGAGATAACCAATGATATGCTGTTCATGAAGAGGTGATCACATGACCTTCTGCCAAAGTGCTGGCTGCTTGTTTCCAATCCTGGTAATATGGCAGTAGGTTTCGAAAGAAACGTCAACTCAAGTCTGTGCACGAAACTTTCAATACTCTAATTGGGGTTAGGGTTCATCATCATCTACAGTGGGGAACATAAAAAATTACTATAGCTATGAAAATTACATGCTGTCGCACATGTTATAAATTCTTACCTCACTAGTGTATTCAGTGCTCTATTTTCTCCGTCCTAGTAAGTCCAGATATAGTGGAATGTGTGTCCATAAAGACAAATAAGAACTTAAAAATTTGAAGTGATATTCACATGTTAATTCCGACTCTTCAAATGTTGCGGTGATTTTGGAGCCCGATTACACCTCAATGAGGACTGGCTCCCAGAATGCAACATGACACGTGCCAGCTTTCAAAATGACGTTCCATTTTGAAACATGTCACGTGTAAATAAGGTTAACTGATGTTGCATTCTTGGAGTCAATCCTCCTTGGATCACAAACATGGCAATTCATGAAAACATTCGTTCAATTTGGTAGAGTCTACATCATTTGCAGGTATATGAAGCTTTGGATTCATTTATTGTGCTACTTCAAGTGAACGGGAATTATTTTTCAACCGCTTCGGAAAGTTTGAGACACGAAACTTAGAATTTAGCTCATTGTGACAACTTTTGATGGTTGAGGTTTATTTTTGTTCCCCACTTTAAAATATTTATCAAAAAAATCAAATGGAAAATTTTGAGTTTACAGCTTTAGTTTAGAGACTACGGATGCTCAAATGATAAGCGTAAACATGTAATCTACTATTCAAATAAATACTTACATCTTATCACATCTCAAATGCATAATTATATGGCTAGAAAACGTTTTAGATCAACGAGTAACAATAACCAAGATTGTAGTGTTTTTAAAAATAGAATTTATGCCGCTTATATCAATTACAACCACAAATGTTTGTCAATGTTGAAGAGTCAATATTAAAATTCTACTTCCGGTATAAACAAAGTCGGTAAGTTTTAAACTTCTTACACTTGTTGCTCTTTAAAGCTTGTTAAGATAATATTAGCATGCCATTATATTCATAAGTTGCATGCATGTAGATTTTAGTGTGTATAAGAGAATATATAGGCCTCAACACTCACTGAAGGCGTTTAAACTCAACTTTGGATAATGAAATTATTTTTTTTGAAAAGTCAAGCAGAAATTGAGAAAAGAAATGAATTCACCAGAACTTACTCACTTCGAGAGCCATGTTAGATTTTGAAACTTATGGCTCTCAAACGGAGAAGTGAACAGCTGATCAATAGTACCCCCATAAATGTGGGGTTATTTTGAGGTTTTTTGATATTTAGGACATTTGTTTCTCAAAATAACCCCACAAAGTTTAGGCTTTGATTCTTTGCGGTTTTCTTCACATGATTTGAAGATTCAAGTTCTGACAATATCGGCAGTTTCCTTACCTTTTTTCTTCTCTTCTGTGAAGAGGATTCTTTTTCCAATGTAATGAGCGATCGATCAATGGAAACAATACTTTATAACTGGAACAATTTGCTGTAATATTTGACTCTCGAAATCTATTCAAATTTTGGCCATTTTCGCGCGTTGCATTCTGGGAGGAATTATGTGGTAGATGGGAAACTTAACAGTGCCAAACGAAATCACCTGTCAAATTAATAACAAAATTATTGCTCATGCCTAAGTTCAGGAAAACAAAGGCCGTAGACGGTACAGCAGCCAAACTTGAGGTTGAAAATCCTTTTAATACACCCCGGAAGGTGAAAATCATTTTTCAAAATTTCCCTCCATTTTTACTTTTGGATTTCGTATTTACACGAAGTTTGTCATTTAGATAAAAAATATCGACTGCGCATGAAATTTGAAAAACTTTTTTAGAAATATCTGTTATCCGTATTAAATCGTCATTACAAGAATAAATACAACACTTAGAGGGCTATATTTGGAAGCATGTTGAAGATTAATGTCTTGTTGATACGAAAAACATAAAAAGGTGAGTAAATTCTAATAATATTAGTACAAATTCTATGTGTATGCTAATGTTCAGCAAATCCCCAAAGAATCAAAGTACTAATCGGTGTGGGGTTATTTTGAGAAACAAATGTCCTAAATATCAAAAAACCTCAAAATAACCCCACATTTATGGGGGTAATCAATAGTGACCTTTGAAATCGAATTAAGTCGATCCGCGGCTTACTTTTGGTCTCTAACTGTGTCTTACATCAGTATCATCAATCCGTGTAAGTATTGGAGCGCTGGAGTACTTCTTTTTCGATCAAGACTTGTAAATTGTTCATCGAGTGAAAGTTTTTTAGACCTATTTCCAATATGGCGGTTTGCTAGGTGCGAGATACGCAACGAACGAAATGAATTTTGAGAATTAGTTAGGTTTGGACAACCTCCGGAGATTTACGAAAATGTCCGAGCAGAAACCGCCATATTGGAATTTGGCAGTAAAAGGATTCACTCGACTAACAATTACAAGTCTTGATCGAAAAAGAAGTACTCCAGCGCTCCAATACTTACACGGATTGATGATACTGATGTAAGACACAGTTAGAGACCAAAAGTAAGCCGCGGATCGACTTAATTCGATTTCAAAGGTCACGATCATTGAGCTGTCCAAATGCTCCGTGGGAAAGCTATTATATCAAAATCCAAATAGCTTTCGCAGGAAGTAAACCAGAACATGATGAGTAGCTCCCACAATACTATCATATTCTTTCGTACTCATGAAAATAATGAATTCAGATCATGCCCGATACAATGTCCATTCATGGGCGTAGCGCCCGATACGCACAGGCGTACCAGATGGTTGCAAATTCGCTCCAAATACAACCAAATTTCAAAATTTTCCTGGGGGAACACCAGACCCCCTTGAATGCTCGTTTTTGATTCACTCAACTCTTGTTCCTGTGGTGGTGGCGTATTACTTAGAAAAATAGCGCTACGCCCATGCCATTCAAATTGCAGGATATGATCAAGTGAACAATCATGAGCACATGCTCTCTCACAGGCCGCACATGTGCAAAGTGAAATTTGAAATCTAGGAGATGGCATTTATTTCAGTTTAACATCAGTTCAACATCATCTTCTCTGAACAACAGTACTGTTTGAATTACTCAATCTAAACTTGTTCAATCTAGACTAATTCTGAGGTCAATTCCAATGGCAAGTGAGACATGTTTATAAAATTGGTTATCGAACGTGCCAATACCAAAAGTCATCTTTGGAAAATCTCCTCCTGGAATTCAGAAAATAATTTGCAAAATGATTAAGCCCAGTATACACTGACAGGTGAAATGCTACACTGTATCCTTCGAATGTTGACAAAATTGCTGAACTCCTGGTAGCTCTCTTTCAGAAATCTCCAGAGATCTTGAACAATACTTCGTAAATACCAGTCATTTAACAGAACACGACCCAAATTAGCCATTTGGTGATGAAACTGGTACTTCTTGCTCTGTGTTATGACGCGACATGACATTTAAATCAACTCAATATTGACATTTCTGTAGCGTAACCAGGCCCGTAGCCAGGGGGGGTTCGCAGGGTTCGGGCGAACCCCCTCCTGGCCAAAAATTCTTTCAAAATCATGCAGTTTTTCACCATTTTGAGCACTTCTCTTGTGATTTTAGCCATATTTGGGCCAAAATTGTCAAATGTGAACCCCCCCTGGAAATTTTTGAAAACTGAACCCCCCTTGGCAAATTCTGGCTACGGGCCTGGTAACTAAGGAAATATAGTGGCACCTTGTTAGAGTGCAATATGTAGAGATTAGAGGCAGTGTCTTATCTAAGGATTGATGAAAATGGTGATTAGTCAAAATTTACTTAGTTATTATCTCATAGTATTGTTGATATAAGGTTAGAGGATTTAATCTTATGTTTAAGAGCATTTCTTTTTTGTAGATTGGACTTTTAAGGAAACTGATATATGTTGAATCTTTCTCTTTATAAAAACCCTACCTTATATTTTTATTGCATTATACATTTTTAACTTCATTTTCTCAAAAAACATTATTTACAATTTAAGATGCAGAAATGTCCAAATTCAATAAAGATTTATATAATTACTTGATATCCTTAAAAATTGAAATTCTAAAATGAAGTCATTTAATAAAATGACTCTATAGTCATAGTATAAGATAGACATTCAATTAACTGTAAATAGATTTAATATTGTTAAACCTTTATTCATAATCTTGGCCTTTTTGATAACATATTTCAGACCCTCGAATAAAGTATCACTGTTCTCTTTATTTAATTATTTCAATCTCTTCAAGAGAAACCTAAACTGTATAAGCCAATACATGGGAGAAGTTTTTTCTTAATTTTAAGCAGAAATGCACAAAATCTAGTGAAAGGCTTATAGATTTGAGAGAGATTTACGAGAGATAGCTCGTATGAGAGTATTTTTAAAATTTATTTTAGGAGGTTCAATAATGTGATTCATCAATTCAACAAATTGAAGAATAATTCATATTGATAATCCAATAGCATCCACACATATATCAAATAACAATTCTTTAAAGATATGTTAAATGAAATATGTGTAGTTCATACCCAGCTAATATATGTTAATCCCGTGTGGGCTAACCATTTGCCACCATGGGGCTAATTATGGGTATTCGTTTTTTTAATTATTTTTTTGTATTCGGTGTTATTGGGGATCTTGCAGTATTGGTTTTGCCCTCTTTCTATTCATGCTGTGCCCTGCAGTCTGCCCCAAATTATTCAAATGGTGGTGGATGGAGACCCCACCCAGCCTTAGTGTGACAGCTCCATAAGGGTCAAGGTCATTGAAGATATAACTAATTACTTCCTAAATTGCAAAGCCACAAACATATTGGGATTGTGCTTAATTAGGATCTGAAGCCATCATTTTTCATTAGTCATATTCATGAGGTTTAATATTCTCTGATAATTTTGTTTACTAAGACAGGCCTGTCAACTTGGGAACACCTAACATGAGTGACTTACAAAATGTTGAACACCTTTCTTCTAATTTTTGACACCTTGGTCCAAATCTGAACACCTTGGTCAAGATTTTGAACATCTTGATTCTGGTTAATTATGCATCCCCCAAGAGCAGGTCTTCAAGATCCAGAATATTTTCTTTCTACTTCCCAGAGGAATGAGTTCCAACAGCTCTGTGTTCAAAATATCAATGTATTTAACCAAAATTCCCCTCCATTAATTCAATATTTTAATTTATTATTAAATACATGTACTGCACAAAAACATCTAGAATTTTCACTAAAAAATACTAAATCATCCACACAAACCATATTTAGATTTTTATTTCTATGGAACTTTAAGGAGAAAGATGCATTTTTGTTAGTTAATCAGCAACTTTAATCTACTAGCATAATTTATAATCCATTTAAGTAATAATTAATTGATCAAGTGAAAGTGCAATAATTTCATAGGAACTGCTACTTGACACTTGACCATGGTGTTCGTACTCCACATCATGTTTGCTGTATGTTAGAAAGTGAAATCAATTTTGATCTCATTAAAATCAAATGTTTGAGTAACCCTTTGTCTGTTAAGAGTATTAGTTGGTTTGGGTGGGTCTTTGTGATGTGATACCTCTGTTAAGTTGCCATGCCAACTGTATCCCATTTTCCCCTGAGGGAGAAGCCACTCAACTCAATACCAACCCCCTGTCATTACCTTATCTCCCATATCTCCTTAGTTGCTCCCCCCCCCGCGCATCCTCCCATTTTTCCTCTTCAGAGAGTGCAGTTAATTTTTATCTCATGAAAACTTTTAAGTACCTGTACCTCTCTGTCTGATGTACAAATGTCATTTGTTTATTTACTCATTAAAAGCCTTTAATGAACAAGTGCCCATATAGTGTCAACTGTCAATGTCATTATGACTTTATAAGGTCTTCTTTTGTTTAAACGCAACATGACATTTGAACAATATCGTACTGTACAGTAAAACCTGTATGTCCGAACACCTCACTAATCTGTTTATCTCTGAATGTGAACACCTTCTCCTGGTCCCATTCTTTATAAACTGCCATGAGTTTCATGATATGTGACCTTGAAATGTGACCACCTGCCTGGTCCGCCATTCCAAACACTAAGGCCATTGGTGTTTGGATAAGGTGGGTTCTTCTGTACTGAATTCCCTTTCATTCCATTGATTCCTTTAATTCACATTTTGTCCCATTATGGCCTAATATTACGATTTATTTGATAGACATAAATACACATTATATATTATATATATTCTTGGGATATAAATTTCATTAACTGGTAAATGAAAATCGGCTACTATCAGCTTTTGAAAAAATAATTGGTCCCCATGGAATGGATTGCTTTTCATTTTGCCCCCTCCCCCTTTTTTCATACAAGTTCAATACTATATCCCACATGGGATATAGTATTGAAGGTAATTTCACAAACTTCCACCTATACAGAATATGTAAACGTGAATGCAGACATGTATTCCAGTAATAGAATACTCTCATTAGTTTAATCGCAATAATCATACTGTGGAGTAACAGAATAAACAGTATAATTCCAGAGTTCAGATTTAGATATATCAATTTTACTAATCGTATCCAAGGTACTATTAGAGATGTAACGATGCATCATGTTCAATTGGATTTATTCAAATGAAAAAACATTCCTTTTAATTACTTGTGGATCTTTATTGAATTTTTGTGGAAACTTAATATCAGTGACATTTATGATAAAGTAAGCAAGTTTCAAGGTAGGTTACTAGTATTACTAGGCCTTTTTACTAGGATCCATATTTGGACGGGTACAGCTGACACTTATTTTGAACATTTTTTCAATGTGAATATAAGATAGACTTACATGTTGTCGGAGAATAAGTTCAGAATCGTTAGAATTACTGAGAGCAGGCAATACTCAAGTATTGTGATTTTATACCTTTAATTTTTCTACATTTTGAATACTAAGTATTAGTTTTTGCACATTTGACATTGTTGGAAAAATATCATTTATGTAGTTACATTCTCTCATTTAAAATCAAATGCTTTAATTCATTTTCAGTGACATCTAAGCGATACCAAGATGTCCCAGCATGCACTAGCATGTGTGTTGTTTCTCCTAGTAACAGTTGCCATAGTGACAAGTGAGGGCAACACTGACTCCCTCTCCAATCACGCCCCCCATGGGTCACCCCACAACACAACCCACAAGGAGCACCATCATGTACATGTGGCAAAATGGAACTGGGCCTATGTGAAATATCCATTTATCATTACAGGCTTCATTTTCTTCGCTTGTATTTTGAAACTCCGTAAGTACAATTAATATTGCTTCATATATGTGCAAATTAATCTTGTCTGTTTCCAACATACTTTGACATTATTCAAAATTACAATTCAATTTTCCATACTTTCAATTAAAATTTCTAGCAAAATTTTCAACTGATCTTTGGCAATAGTAGAGGATGTCCTCATTCGCTATCTACATGTATTTGTTATCTCTCAAAATTTCGAGAGAATGTTATTCCTAAAAGATTAATAGATACAATGTATAACTATGATTGAGCATTTAACAAAATATATTTTAGATATGTTGATTTTTGGATTATTTAATGTAACTTTAAATCTAATTTCAGTGTACCATCATGCAGGCTTCCTTGCTTCACTTGTCCCAGAATCATGGTATGTATTGTGTTAAGATTCAGTTGTTACGATTGGTTGAATACATGTCACCTGACCTTTGGGAATTGTGGGTATAAGCAATATACAAATTGTGTAATAAATATTACATTATTCGGTTGAACCAAACCCGACTGTTCATCGCTATTAAATAATCAAAATTGAAATATTTCAGGCCATAACTTATTTTTAAAAAAATTAAGAAATTATTACCATGGAGACAGTCGAAATATTTAAAACAAAAGGTGATTTTTGGTTTTAAAAACTGCTTGCTGTGTGCTGCTAATGAAAAGAAGCCCCTGAATGTAGATTTTACCATTTCCACTAGGGCATCATGACCATATACTATCGAGATGATTTTATCTTCTATAAATTGTAACATACAGTAAAACCTGTATATCCATCCAAACACTTCTCTATATTGAACACCTCCCAGTTCAATATCTAAAAACTTTTATATGATCCCGATATCCACCATTATTACCACCTTGCAGGGCCTGTTCTAGGGGTTTTAGTACTAGCTAGTTGAGAAGGCATTTAAATTGCTATATTGACATGAGCAATATTGTGTCGGGCGTTAATGACTTTAGTCGGGCAATAATGACATTATCCGCCCGGCTATGTTTCCCAGGAAAAGTGATATCGTTCAGTGCGTAAGATTTTCTATTTCAAATTTGCTATTTCAGCCCTGGGCATTAACGTTGGTAATAATAGTAATAACGTCATTTCTGCGGGCAAAATGCGGCCCTTGGTCCAATATTTCACTATATTGCCCTTTGAAATGACGTTATTGTACTATTGACTCACTAATTAATATACCTTTGAAATGTGAACACCTGTTAATTCAAACACTTTTAACAGGTCCTAGATTTATTTCAACAAGATTTACTGTAGTTGTCATTTAAACATGTATTAATACCACAGAGTAATTACTCTTTTGTGTTCTCTCTGATTAAGTCTTGTTAATATGAAACCGGCTTGTTAAAATGTCACAATGGCCTTGTTTGAAATGTAAAATAGAGTGGAAAAGAGTAGAATTTGCAAGGAATAAAGTAAACAGGCATGTAGTCAACACTCTAAATTATATCTAATGCAAGAAAATCAAACACTTTATTCAAATTTTAGAGAGAAATGGAGAGAAATCAGCAAGGAATAAAGTAAACAGGCATGTAGTCAACGCTCTAAATTATATAGAAATTCAAGAAAATCAGATGCTTCAATCAAATTTTAGAGAGAAAAATGAGGAAAAAGGATGACCTTTGAAAAACGTAAAATTAACTGTACGATCTGTGATGACTGTAATGCGTAGAGAAATAGGAGATATACGTAAATCCCTCTAATTCATCACGATAATGCATCATAAATTAATAGATCAAATTATACATGCAATAATAGATTTGTATTGTTCACAGCTTGCCTTTCATAAGATCCTTGAACTCAGTTATGCATAGATAAATACATGGCATTAGACATTGTTTCTTTACATGTTGGAACAAATTTGGGGATATTTGGGGTTGGTTTTCCTAATGACTGATCCCTTAGCTGTTCCATTTTCAGTTTTGTAAAAGTTTTTTACTTTCCCTTTGGCACTTGTGCATATGGCAATGAGGAGACCTTGGAATTCACAGATGAATAAATATGAAGCGCACCTCTAAACATGAAAATGACTTTTTCAATGAACCTGCCATGTCAACTGCATAAAAAGCTAGGGAATGTCAAAGAGGAGGAACTACCCCATTGCATTCAAAGATGATTAAGAGGTTTCCTCTATTAGAAACGGTTCATCTATGAAATCTGGGATATTCCCCCCTCTTGTATTGATAATTATTAGTCAGATTTGTGTTGCCATGTAGCAATATTTGCAAACAAATTTTCAGAAGTTTTCTAAAATTAGTAATAAATTAATCCTAATTTTGATTGAAAATATTCTCACAATGTATGACATCATGAAGCAGCCCTTATATTTTGTTTTTTTTAATGCAGTGATGGGTCAAAAGAGGGCACTGTTTATTGAAAAGGTCTATTGTCCATTCCTACTTACAATGTCTTTGAATGATCTTTGAAATTGTGTTCTTTTTTCAGCATTCTGATTTTACTTGGAACAGGAGTAGGTGCAATTATACAGTAAGTTTTTCATCAATAAAGTACAATGAAACCTGAATATTCAAACACCCCTTTAATCTGAAAATCTTTTATTGTGAACACTTTTTCTTTGTCCCAAATTCGTTATCTTTATTCATTCATATGTTAAGAAAGCTTGAATGTGAAGACCTGCTAATCCGAGCACGTTTGACCATCAAAGTGGTGTTCAAAGTGACTTTTGACCATCAAAGTGGTGTTTGAATTTGGCAGGTGTCTGGTGCAATTATTTAAAATTACAGCGATTTTCTGTAATGAGTGACAAAAGCAAAATTCTGATATTTGATACTCATAAATCTTAATGGTCCTGGTAAATACATTTTGAGATTTAATTCAATTACATCAATTTGAAAATATAATTGTTCCTTTTCAGCTACTCTGGTTCCCAGGGGGGATTGCCTGAACTCACTCCAAGAATCTTTTTCCTTTTCTTACTTCCTCCGTAAGTATAAGCCTTTCAGGGCTCTCACCAGGAAATATTTAGGGTCGGTACTAACATCTTCAGAATAACCGTTCAGTTGGATAAATCATATTTTTGTTATGTTTTATCCTTTTTACATGCTATTATTGTATATTCAGTCAAGTTTAGACTGTGGGAACAGTCATGATTTGCCAATAGGGTGTGGAGGGAGCTAAATAGAGTGTTGTGCTGCGCCACAGTCTAAAAGCCTGGCGAGAGCCCTGCCTTTATAGGTACCATTCATACCAAAATGTGCATGTAATTATTATCAATTTGTTAATCACTTCACCATTTTTTGTCAACAAACATTAACAATTTAGACAACATATCTGTTACCATGGACTTGAGAAGTCAAGATCGAGACTAATAATTTAATACCGTGTGTCCATGGGTTAATAGTATTAGTAAAATAACATCATTTTGAAGGGCAATATAGTGAAATATTGGACCGCATAAATGACGTAATTAGTAGTATTACATACCTAGCAAAGCATTTGTATGGAAGTCAATGGGAAAGTTAGCGAGCTATATCCACCGATATTGCCCGATTACCCCGATATAGCCCGCTTACCTCGTTTTGATATTAGATTTCTTTAATAACCATGATAATATCATGACGTCACGTCATTGATACAAAGTAACCATGGGAACAAAGGCATGTAATACATCAGTTATGTCACTATGACGTGAAATATGCCTTCGTTCTTGCCCAAATATAGAGCCTCCCAAGGTCGGCCTATATTGGGAGAACTCAGGCATATTTCACGTCATAGTGACATAACCTCTAATTATTAAAGTGTTAATGCCAAGGGTTGAAATAACAACTGAACAAGAACTGAACAAAATCTAATTTCCCCGGGAAAATTGCCAGTCGTTAATGCATTATGCCTTATTTCAGGATTATACTGGAATCTGCGTACAGTTTACATGACCGGGTGTTCTTTGATAATCTAGGCACCATCTTGGTGTATGCTGTAATAGTAAGTATATACAATGTATTAATATATTGTGAATGATCTTGACATATTTTTTATAGTTAAGGGGTTGTCTAATGCCTTGGTCACATTTGCGCCGATTTTCACTACAGCGCCCGGCTGATTGAGTATTTTGTTCAAAATTGAATACAATATTGAACAGAACACTCAAGCGGCTGGGTGCCGGCCAATGGATCAGAGCAAATGTGACCAGGCATTACTGAGGTACCAGCTTTTCTTCTACATTAGCATCTAGATTCATGACCAGTTGATATCATTTTAATCTGCTACACTCCATGTTTCTGACCCAGTTATATTTATCTGCGTCCTTTACAAAATTTTGTTCATCATTTATCAAGATTTATTATTTGGTTTTTATCATGTGTAAAATGCTGTGAAATAAGGTACAAATGAATAGAAAAAGCTAGGGAGCTCTCAGACAACCGACTTTCTATTTTTTATGATAAAGGCACATACAGGCCCAAATAGAATGCATGGTTTGATTTAAAGCATTTTATTCACGAGCCTTATTAAAATGTCTTAGAGGTCATGTTTTGAAATGTTAAATAGTGTGGAAAGAATGAAATCAGCAAGAAATAAAGTAAACAGACATGTAGTTGACACTCTAAATTATATAGAAATGCAAGAAAATGAGGCACTTCTTTCAAAGATGGTATGGATTGGCCACATGATTTAAGACAGTTGTATCTTTGACAAATATTCTGAAATAAAGTTCATTTAAAGCAATGTCCAAAGAATAGTTAAAAAACCAAACCATACAACCCGCTGAAAAACATTGTTTTAAAAACCTCATCTTGACACATTTTCAGTTATTCATTGTTTTCAGCCTAATTTTGGTCATCAAAATTCAACATCTTCCGAATTAGACTTTAATGTCTTAAAGACCTCTTGATTTATAATCTATATATTCATTAAAATTGAAATTTTAAAAAACTATATTCAACATTTTGAAAAAATGTGTTGAGGTTCCTAATCCATAGTTTTTAGGAGGAAAACATAATATTTTCCTGAGAAATGCCATATTTATGGCGAGAAAATGATCAAACCTTTTACTTTCTAAAATCAGTCTCCACACCATACCTGGTCCTTTTAGCATTGATTGATTGATTGTTTAGTTGATTTTATATTTTGTTTATGATTTATTTACAGACAATAGTGTCAAATACTAATAACACATACTAAAATGTTGGTTATTCTTGTTAGAATTAGTTAACCAATATTTTGTTTGCATCCTCGCACAAATTATTACCAGATTAGTTGTTTTGTTTTAGTTGTTTTGTTTGTATTAATCTGCTATGTTGTTTTGTTTTGTTGCTAGGGAACAGTATTAAACTGTTTTATCATAGGTAAGTCTAATTTAATAACTTTCTTTTTTATTGATTTTTTATTATTGTTTATTTTAAATCTGTTAATTTTCATAGTTGGGGGACCAAGTCATTCCTTACAGATTTTTATTTATATAGTCTTTAATGAATTATTTTTTTTTGAAAACACGTTATACTTATCTTTTAACTTTTGATAAATCTATCTATATATATTTTTTTTTATATTAACTAGCTTAGTTTAAACCCAGTATTTTGCATTTAATGTATATATATATTTTAATGTTTTTAGCACATCAATTTTCTCATTTTAAAGCAATCCATTTTCAAGTGCTATACATTATATGATTTAATTTTTGAGATTTTTGAAATTTCATCAGTCTGCCGCTACTTACACATAAAGAACAATTAAATTAGATGCAATTATATTGGCAAATAAAATAATAAGGAATGTGCATGTACAGGATGTCAAAAAACAACAGCACCCCCTCTACAGCAAAATCTCCTTAATGTTACATGGCATGTCATATATCATTTGAAAGATAATTAATTCTGGAGTTACCTGAACATTTGGTACTATTTGCTTTAGAGGGGTGCTGTATATGTAGAGCTTGTTTCATATTAGCTTCAGGCCCCTCATCAATATATCTGTCTCTTTTGGAATCTACATGACCAAGGCAAAGGTTCCCATTTCTTTACTCTTAACTTGTTTTAATGTTTCAAAGGTGTAGCCAGGCATGAGGTATGGGAGGCAAGGCAAGAGCCTCACCAAGATTTTCTCACCTATTCTGTAGCACAGCCAGGATGAGGCCGATGAGGCGATTGCCTCCTTGCTTTTTTAACATCCCTTGAGAAATATTCCTTCATCAATGAAGTTGTAAATTAATTGTATCGACTTTTATTGATTTTTCATCAATTTTTGATTCAATTTTGCATAGTTTCATCATGCAAGGGTTACCATCTTGTTCTTCTATTGCCATCATTGAACTAAGTTCATATTTATTGGTGTTTTACCTAATATTACATTCATTTTTCCGACGAATGATTCATGTTTATATTTCTTATTGAGTTCCAATACATAGTCGCTACTTTTTGCCTCATCTCGTTTTTCCTCCAAATATTTTTCGCCTCGTTGCTTTTTTCTTTTTTCTTCCAAATATTTTTCGCCTTGTCGCTTTTTACTTACTGGCTATGTCGCCTATTTTGCCTCATATGTTTAACCTCACCTGGATATGCCTCTTGTCTTGGTTGAGCCTGGAGCTGAATAATTAATTGTTGGTGGTGGAAAAAGTTTGGTCATCATCTTGACGTGTGAATAATATGCTTGATATATGTACATTGCAATTATCAAATCATATAAAAATGAATAAATTAATATTAAAAGAATAATGACATCTCTACTGCAACTAGATTGACCAAATATGGTATTGATTCTAGGTCCTTCCTTATATGGACTTGCGAGAGCTGGCGCAATGGGACCAATACAAATCACCTTTGTCCAGTGTTTGGCATTCGCTTCGCTCATTGTTGCTGTGGACCCTGTAGCGGTATGTATAACAATGATTTTAAACCTTGACCAGTCTAACATTTTTGAACTTAAAGATTAATAGGGCATTTGTTTAACGATATATATTTGAGAAAATATATCAGACTACTATAGGATAATTCCACGATTCACTGCTAATTTTAAGAATTTAATTGACATCTTTTTCAGCATCTGTGAGTCCTCAAATAAAAACAAACATCAAATGGCATAAATGATATATTACATTAATACATTACTGTACTTACATAATGTATTGTATTGTATTTACTTTTCAGGTACTTGCAATATTTCAAGAAGTTGGAGTAAACCAAGTTCTATACTTCCTAGTCTTTGGCGAGTCATTGTTCAATGGTAAGATAATTATCATGTTACTCAATATTCACATCACTAGGAGTGTATCAGGAATCTAGAGAAAGGCCAGGTAACGGGAGAAATTTAAGTAAAATTGGAAATAATATCATAAGACTCCATATATTCGTAGCTTCAGTTTGAAAAATGTCATGTACAAAATTGTATATGTTGTGCAAAAAAACGAGGCAACAAGCTCACAATCTTCCCATGGAAGATGAAAGGGTAAATCTAAAATGTACTAATTTTTCCATATTGTTTTAGTCTCCAACTTTTTGTGAATTGTGTTTGGCATTCAGTGGTTGATGTTTGGCAGTCAGGTTTTGTATCAAATGGCAGGCTGTGACATTTTGCATGTTAAAGCCTTGTTTTATTTGCAATTGTTTATAACCTCATATTACATGTATGACTGTCAGTCATACCCTGCCATTTTAGCACATACAGCTAATACTGGGCACACATGTCTCCCATTGTAGATGCTGTAACTGTGGTGCTATACAATACGATGAAAACATTTACAAAAATGGAAACAATCCCTCCTGAACAGGTTTGTAAACTATTCTCCTATTATGACTTCTAATTGAACATTAGGAAAAATGTTATGGGTAACCCATATGTTTCACATAACTACCCATATTGTTACCCATAGCCCCCAAGTACCCATAACTTAAGGGTAATTGATGCCTTATCCAACCTAAGTTTTTTGGTAATGACTTATAATGGGTAATAATGGGTAAATAATGGTTTTAGGTTATGCCATTATGTATTGGTAATGTGAAAGTTATGTGTAGGTTATTTGGAATTTATGTGTATGTTATGGGGACACATAATTTGCCAATAACCTACACATGCTTAGCCCATAACATCTACTTATGTTTAATTATGAGTATATCATTGTTATAACATGTAGGTTTTAACCATACCTATTGGTTATGGGTAACACTATGGGTAACACTATGGGTTATGTAAATATAAACCATAAATGACCTAATGAATTACCACTATTATGGATAACACTATGGGTAATACCCATAACGTTTTTCCTAAAGCTATTAATTATCAAAAGAGAAATGGTCTTGCAAGGAATATCTCTTTAATTTGGAGTAAAAAAGTTTTTATTTTTTCTAGATCGCGTTAGGGTTTGCTGCATTCTTCACTGTGAGTCTAGGGGGTCTTTTTATTGGAATGTTCTTTGGGTTCCTAACAGCTCTTCTGACCAGGTTTACTGGGCATGTCAGAGGTAAGCCATTGACACATGAACATACTTAACCACATAGAAATAGACATTTGACACTTGAATATGTGTAAGACACTTGAAATATTTTCACACAAAATGACACATGAATATTTGTTGACCATTTGGCATACAGTTTGTATTAAATTATGACACATGAATATTTTATGATAAAAACAAGCACATCTGTGATAGAGAAAAATAGACAAAAATAGACACTTTATGTGTTTTTCTTATTTTAAGGCTAGAAAACATATTTGTGTTTCAGTCGTTGAACCACTTGCTGTATTTGTCTTGGCCTATATGGCCCTTCTTACTACAGAGATGTTTCACTTCTCAGGGATTGTATCGTAAGTCATGTACAATGTACTAAATCTAGTATATGTTTTTTGGCCGTGTTATTTTATTCTCGAAGTTCCTTAATTGCTAGAGTTGTTTATCCAGCTTAACATTTTCAGAAATATAATCAATGCTCTGATCCAATCAGAATGTTCTCTTCCTGAAGCACAAAACATAGTAGGTACATGTATGAATCAGCAACAAAGAATATGTAATACTCAACATTGTATCAAGATGCTAGAAAATGATGTAATTCAATTTTATTATATCACCACCAAAAGTGGTGACATAGTGTACACTTATGGCCTCCTACTTTTTTGTGACAGCGTTCAGCTTCTGGCATTCGGCATCTGTAACAAATGGCAGGTGGTGACATTTGCATGTTAAAGCCTTGTTAAAATTACCTTGTAAAGTTGTAAATGTGTATTCTTAGATTTTTATAATAAAAGTATTGACATGTTAAGTAACCTTCTCTATAATGATCAGTTATCAACTGTGAAAAGGAAACAGTCTAAAGACCAAATTTTGAAATTAAGATACTTTACCACAAGGGACATATTATAATTTGGACTTGGCCAATATGGAGGGCATTCCTGTATCATATAGGCACTTTTTATTCAAATGTAAACAATTGGAGTATATCAGAAAATCCCATATTGAAAAATTTGAAAACCTGTGTTGTAATTTTAAAAACATGAATTACCACCAAAAGACAATTTTTCTATTGACGCGTGAGGGGATCATATTAAAAGAATCTGCTAACATGATAAATTATCTAATGATTGGTAGAGACAGGATTCTTATATCAAAGAAACATTTTATATGTCATTTGAAGAATGTAATCCTATTTTCTTTACTTTATTGCTATATTTACTGTAATTGAAAATTGTATATCGGATGTACGTTTGGCCCTAAAAGGGCATCGACAGTACTAATAAATCCTATTACTATACTATAACAATTTCCATGAATTCTTTCTTTTAGTGTGATTGGATGTGGATTGGTTCAAGCTCATTACGCATTTCATAACATTTCCCACAAATCCTACACAACAGTGAAGTACTTCATAAAAATGATGGCGTGAGTATCTTCTATTATTGCTTATATAATAGAAGCTATATGGGGTCTGTTTTTCTTGACTGGTATGCACTTAGAGTTTGCTTTTCTTGCTAAGTTCCAGTACAACTTTGGTCCTTTCCCTTTGGCACTTGTGCTTATATATTCACTACCTTCGCTATCTCTCATTTTGATTCCTCTTCACAAATTATATGGAATCTTGACACATTTATTTGACATTAGAAAATCATGATTTTATTATAGAAATTATTGAAATGTTAAAAACCGAAAGTCGAAGTTGTTCCCTGATCTGGCAAAATACTAAACGGAATGTTACAAGGGCACAATATTTTGGACTCTTCAGCATCCAGGCCATCAATGCGGACATCAGTTCTGTCCTCGCAAACTACATTCCTTGCACTCGAACCACAATTCTCACATCACAAACATGAAATCTTTAGTTGCGCACCACCACTTCTTCGCTCCCAAACTACTTTTTCCACTTGTGAACAGGGATCCGTTCTCGCAAACCAGACACATCTGCATAAAATAAATTTGAACCAATCAAAAAAAAGCAGCTTGAGTTATTTGAAGTTCTTTGCGCATGCATGAAAAACAGAAGCGAGTAAAAAATTAAACTCGCACAGATTGCCCCTACTCATTGAATATTATGTGCTCATTGTTTTTCAGTGCAACCAATGACTGTCTAATATTTCTTTTTATGGGCATGGCCCTTGTTCACCCTGACCATGTGTGGCACCCTGGCTTTATATGTTGGACGCTACTGCTCTGTTTGGTCGTCAGGTTTTTAGGTAAGAGCGTTTTCAGTTTTATTGATATTTTATATATTCTATTTTTTCATTTCAGTAATATGATACAGTAAAACCTGCTTATCTGAACACCTCTCTTCTCTGAACACCTCTCTTATCCAAACACCTCTCTTATCCAAACACCTCTCTTATCCAAACACCTCTCTTATCCGAACACCTCTCTTATCCGAACACCTCTCAATGTAAACATTTTTTCTTAGTTCCACTTTCCTTAATCCCCTGTTATTGAAAAACCTTGAAATGTGAACACCTGCTAATCTGAACAATTTTTGCCAGTGTTCAGGTTAGACAGGTTTTACTTGACTTGAAGTAACAACCTGTTGGGTAAATAATCCATATTACTATAAAATGAATTGCCAATCCTGACTCCCGATCCTTCCCCGTTTTGTCCTATTATATTTTATACAGGGTGTGTCATATGTATTCCATATATTTGTATTTGACTTGTAAATGCTTTAAAGAACGATAACTCATACAATGTCCCCAAAGTGCATTTAATATCATCTCCTCTCATCTCTTGTTATTTCAAACTATAATCAAGTAAAATATAGATGTTTACTCCTTCTTTGGCATCATCAAGTTTTGAATAGTTTTTTGGCTTGTTTGTATAACCTAAGAACCTCAAATCTATGATGTATTTTCATGACATTTTGTCTTACATTCATATGTGAGATGTACATGTATAATATTAATTTATTTATTGATTTTATTTTTATTTATTTTAGTCACATTCGGTCTCACATTCATCGTGAACAAAGTAAAGAAGACAATAAAAATATCATACGAAGAACAGTTTATCATGGTGAGAATTTCACTCTTTATTTGCCAAATTAAAAAAAATTGAAAGCATCTAATTATAATAATAATTGTAATGTATTTCTGATTCTTTAATTTACTTATTTTTTAGTCGTATGGTGGATTGAGAGGAGCAGTTGCGTATTGTCTCGTTGCGATGTTTGACAAGAAATATGTACCGCAAAATATGTTTGAGTCAACAACTCTTGTAGTCGTCTTGTTTACAGTGTTCGTACAGGTAAGGAATTTCTAAAAATTGTCCGTCTACTTTATGCTTATTTCACATCATTTCTTCTTAACATTTGTGGGGCCATGAAGGCCGCTAAACTGTATGATGGTTTGTACGACGCAGAGGCTAGTTTACAACTAGACTAGTTTTCACTGTCAACGTGTCACCATCCGTTCTACTTTAAATAGCCAGCCAGCCGTTTTACTCAGAATTCTTATTTGAATACAGGGTGCAACAATCAAACCACTTGTGAAGCTTTTCAAGATCCGAACTGCTGCAACTAAGTCATTGAGTATGTGCAATGAGATACAGGATAGGGCAAATGACCATATCGTCGCTGGAATCGAACAGGTGCTAGGCCATTATGGAACTAACTTTTTCAGGGTAAGTTGAGAGAAAGCCCTTTATAAGACAAAAAATGAGTGGGCTTGGCTAATGAATGAAAATTTATAAATTTTAGATTTGAATAATTGTCCTTTCTGTAAATGTATAGGTTTTCCTCTAAAATGTCCAAGGTATAAATGTACCTAATTGCTTTAACATATTTTCCTCTGAGATAAAGAGATGTTCAAATTAGACAGGTTTTACTGTATTTATTTGAATTTTAGGAGTTCTTTGATAATGTGGATCACAAATATCTGAAAAAATTCTTCCAAAAGAACCCTGAGAGTAGGGATGCAGAAATCATGGCAATCTATGAAAAGATATCCCTTAAGTAAGTCTGTTTAATGTCAAAGTCAAGGAGGATCCAGGCACCCAAGATGCCTTCTCAAGCCGCATTTCCTGAATGGACCAGTTTGGTAATAATATTACCAAAATGGTCATCTCCCAATTACTTACTCCCAAATTTAATACTTGGTCTGGAGATTGATTGAAAAATCTTGCTTATTCTCATATTATAATCATAATGTTGATTACTTTAATTTCTTCTCGCCAAAAAATCTCCTATAATCTTGTGGAATTTGCAATTATTAAAAAATGTAATAAATCTGAAATATAAATCATGCAAAATTTTCTAGGTATATTTTATTTTGAATAAAATCTCTGATTTCAGACAACATCTTCAGGAGGTTAAACATATCACAACTCCTACAGATGAAAATGAAAATAAGGACAAGTAAGTTACCTTGGTGGAGGTGAATAGTACCTCAATAGGGGTCAGCAGTCAGAATTGTCAACTTCTCGATTCCTTAGTTGAACCTATTTTAACTTATGCCTCGGAGGTGTGGATCAATGAAAAACATCTGAAGTCAATAGAGACAATGCACCTATCTTTTCTTAAATGTCTGTTAGGTGTTAAAAAATCAACTTCAACACCAGCAATTTATGGAGAATTGGGACGCTACCCGTTAAAAATACGTTTTGAAATCAAATTAATTAAATATTGGCTCCGTTTACTTCACCTATCACCAGGAAACATTCTTCATAAAACATATATATATGACCGTGAAATGAGTCAATTTGGTTTTAAAGGCACTTGGTCAAACAAAGTCATTGATATTTTAAAAAAGTGTGATTTATTATCTTATTGGGATACTCAAAAGATTGATGATGACAATATTTTTATCAAGACAATAACAAAAACACTGTATCAGAATTATAAAACTCAATGGAACAAAGATATATTAAATTACCCTGTCTTGAGAACTTATGTTAAATTCAAAAATGTCTTTGAAAGAGAGAGTTATTTAAATATCCAAAATAAAAATTACAGGCAAGCAATTTGTAGATTTAGGCTTAGTTCCCACAAGTTACATATAGAACTTGGTCGTCATTTAAAGCCAAAGCCAAAACCTGTAGATGAAGGTTTATGTAATATTTGTGGTATTTTAGAAGATGAACAACACTTCATCATGATTTGTAAGAAAAACACTACAGAAAGAAAAATTTTGTTTGACACCCTTACACGATTTAATTTTGTAGGCAGTCCTGACATTATTTTTAAAAAACTAATGTCTCACAAAAATTCTTATGTAATTTTACATTTAGCAAAGTTCATCTATCATTCACTCAAAAAATTGGATTTATGTGTCAACGATGCATCACACTGATATTTAAATTTCTGTCAAGTTATATTTGTATTTTACAATTATCTTGTATTCTGTATTTTACATTTGATGATGTAATTAGAATTGTATTTGACAACAACTTTATTTTTGTATTCAATAGTTAGTTTAGTCTTAGGTCAGTTTTGTAGATTGTAGTTTTTAGTGACTAATATGTCATTGTAATGACATCAGAGAGTCAATAAAAGATATATATATAATGAGCCAATCAAAATTGAGTATTTAAACTGATGTTAAAACAGTATGTAAAGTATTTTAATGATTTGACGAAAGCGTTTGACAACATGATCAATGCGTCTCCTAACCCTCCCCCCCTCCCCCTGTCCCCGCCTAATTTAACCCCAGACAGTTTTATGTTCCCTTATTTTGACCTTATTTATGTTACATACCATTTCAGGGAATTAGATGAAGCATTTGAAAATATGACCAAAGTATCTGGAGCTGTGGCTCTCCCTGGCAAACCAACAGTCAGCGAAAAACATCCGGATGTAGTATTAAGAAAAAGCAGACGTGGAGACAGGGCGTCCCGACTGAAAATATGTAAGTAATATTTATTTCATTTTCAAGTAGCGATGAATAGTCCTTGAGATAACTATAACATTATATGATGATAATATTGTCAATCACATTATCTTCATTGCTACTCTGATTATCATTTAGTTCATTCAGTTATATGAGCAATGTATTTTCGTACATTTTGTAGGAATATATTATTCTCCATATTTATTTCAAATAAAAGTGTTCATGTAAGTGGTTATACAGTAGAAATGTGCAGTATTGGTAAGACATTAAATCAAATGCCATTGTTACTTAAAGTCATGTTTTGAAATCAAAAATTGAGTGGAAAAGAGTGGAATCAGCAAAAAATGAACTATACAGGCATGTAGTCAACACTCTAAATCGTAGTGAAATGCAAGAAAATCAGATACTTCATTCTTTTAGAGGGAAATCAAGTGAAATCATAAAGTAAATAGGCATGTAGTCAACACTCTAAATTGTATTGAAATGCAAGAAAATTGGATACATGTACTACATTCTAATTCTGAACACAATATGTGTGGAGAAACATGATATGGGTATGATTACAAGCAGACAGATAAAACTTTTTTTTGTAGTCTCCCAAGGTCAGCGTGACTTCAGTATGATAGCAGAGCCTTCTCCACAGGACTTCAGAATGATGGCTTTACCCAGCAGCCCCTATGTAAGTCACATGATCATCAAGTATAATAAAACATTGTGGGAAACCAATCCAAATTATGGAAGTTTTCAAAATTTATTCTTTGATATTATGTAAATGTTTAAAGTAAATTTAGACTTGGAAATCTTTTTATTGATAATGTAATTTTTTTAAGGCGTTCCGCAAGTTTGATCGCAATCTCACCAAAGATTCTGATGACAAAGACGCCTTAGTACATAAGCTGAGAGATAAATTTGAACGCCAGTCGCGATGGCATAAAGTATCACATGGGCAGACTGTAGATGGCGCTGTCAGATCACATGGTCCACGCCACATGACTCTTGACCCAAAGCTTCTTCGAGCTCAAACAACAGATGATGTTGAAACTCCTCACCATGGAAAACCCACAACGTTACCACATGCATTTACAATTGATATGCCAAGTGGCAGCACTGCTCCACTCAGCGCTCCACCTGCTGAGAGAGATTTTAAATTTGAACCGATTGATGAAGTGGTTGAACCTGAAGAATCAGACCCCTTAGTTGCTAAACAACAAATCTCCAGAGGTTCGAAAAAGCATGGAAAGTTGGAACGAGGGGAGACTATCGATATGCCTGATGTGATGGAAATGAAAGCAATGAGATCAAAACAAGGAGTTGCACCAAAATCACAAGGTTCATCTCAGGCACAACCGGGTGTCCAAAAACCACAACAGGGTGACCCAGAAGTACAAATAACTGAATCTTCAGCCCTTTTGCAAAATGACAAAGCTTCATCTGATGCATAAGAATCTAATACAATCACAGTGTTTTACATGTCAGTGATCTCCACAGGACTTTTTCTCAAGTGGGTGCTAAATTCTTATTTTCACAATTCAGACCAAAATCGGTCAAAATATGCCCATTTTTCATGATTTTTCTCATTTTCAAGTGGGTGCAAATGGATTTCCAGGTGGGCGCAAGCCTATTTTCAAAATCTCAGGTGGGTGCTGCGCCCACTTGCTTTAATGCTGGGGAGATCACTGCATGTACTAGCTTTAGATATTTGGGGAAAGGCATCCTTCAACAAGTAACAATCATAGATGTCATAGAATGCCAGTCATTCAGCTCTTTACCAAAATGCATAAAAATTCAGGGATACTTTTTTAACTCCTTGAGAAATAGGATGTTTACTAAAAGTACAAAGTGGCAAAATCTGTGTTATAATCATGCATTTTATCATGATCAGAGATACTAAAATTCTGTATTTCCGCAACGGAGCAGAAAAAATGCAGAATTTTTAGTTTTGCAATTTGCAGAATTTTGAATTTCTAATGATTTTCGCGGACTTTTCTTAGAATTCATGCTTTGAGAACATTAATTGAACTGAAAGTTTACCTGACATTGTTTTAGGTGCTTGTAGATCATTTAAATCATTTCTAGCTCAGTTTTGTAGCGATTTACACAGAAAACTAAGGGACACCTAATGTGAGTCTAGAAATATGTGAAGACGAGATACTCGTTTTCCAATAGGTTTTGTTCTTATATAAAGATGGCAAGACCAAAATTCATGATTCAAATGTTGAAGTGAACAAAATGGCGACAGAATATCAATGTTGCACTCTGGGAGGCAATCTTCCTTGATTGTCTTTATCAATAATCAGAGATTAATTACCATGCCATCTTTATTTAAAAATTATTTATATCGACTTTAGCCTGTGCGGTTTCTATTGCTCTTGGCCAGTAAACTTCTTTTCTGTAATTTTGTAGCTTGAAAAAATCTTGTATTAAGCATAATTGCCTTTAAAACTGAAAAAGGTGCAAGTATTTTTTTCAATTTAGAACTTGTCCTGTTTTCTTTGTGAGATTTTTTTCAGGCATTATCAGGACTTTTTCCTCCATAGGTTCAAGTCTGTCATTTTTGTAAATTACATATCATGCTTTGAAAATATTTCAGGGCTATTTAAATTGAAATTACAGTGATCAGCCTTTATGTTATTAAGTGCCATATAAAGGATATGTACTTAGATGCTCATTTGAACAATTAGAAGCTTAGAAGTTATTAAAAAATGTAGATAACTTAGTATCATTAATGAGCCAGTATTAAATTTAAAAACACATCTAACCCAACACTTAATACCTTTAGTGTACAGAAAAATGTAATATTCTGATATTTTTAAAAACGGGTGGTATCCAACAGTTGTGGAAAAAGTAAGTTACAGGTAACAGTAATCATTTCAATGTGGGTTAATGTTTCAATGTTTCCTTTCCATGAAATAAATTTTTAGGTTAAAAAGTTCTCCACTTTAATTGGGCAAAAAATCAAAATTTTGATCACTGATGAAATTCAAATTATCATTTACCCCCTATCCCTTACAGAATTTATGTTTTAATTGAATGTCATTATTACTATAATCCCTTACAAAACTAGCTGTATTACTCCACAACATTTGATATTTGGACAAAACCCAAGCTTATAACTTCTGTGTTAAATGCTACTTCTCACACAGAAGTTATAATATTAAAATGCTTGTAAAGATTCTCTGTAGATAATTGGGAATTTTGTCTCATTCATTGTATTTTTAGAATTTGTATTGTAGAAGTGTTGAAATAAAAAGCTGAGGTGGCAAGGGCTAGCCAGAACTTTATGTAGGTGAAACAACATTAATTTGGTGATGTAAATTTTAAAGCGGATACAATACAACACTATCATTTGACAATGGTCTTTTTCTATATTGCTTTGAAATCTCGTTAAAGTCTCGTTTTTAATGAGATTTTATGAGATCTGCATTATTAACCATTAACGACCAACATGAAAACATGAATCAGATTTATTGAGGTAAAATTTTTGTGAGGCAATTGCCTCACACCCTTATACCTGGCTACGTCCATGGTCACAAAGTTTACCAACTTAACCCATGTTATATTTGTGATATATTAATGTTTACTATTTTTTACTAAAATGCTTTATTGCAATAAAATATTAACTCTTTGAATTCCGTGTTTTGTAGAAATTGTTAAACTATATAATTATTAAAGGGGATTGGCTGTTTGATCACTAAGGGATTTTAGCCCTGGACTCAGTGCAATGTGGTATGACCATTTCTTGAAGGTGTTGCTTTCAAAAATTTGCACAAGATGTGCAGCATCGAGTGTTCATTTTAGGAAATAACGCCTGAAAGGAATGGTCATTCTACAATGCATTTATTAGTCTTGGGCTTAAATTCTTTTCACACATTGCAAAATATTCTATACAATGTCACTTAAAAGATGCAGAATCATTAAAAGAACATATTTCCAAGGGTCAAGTTGGCAAAGCATCAATTTCAATCTGAAGAGTCAAGTTGTTACCTTGACAACCACATAGAGAGTGATTTGGTGATTGGTAATATAATGCATTGCAGCTATATGAAATACTGTGTTCGGATTGGCTGGAGTTGGACACACCTTCCTTGCCAACCTTTATACAGGTTGTGAATGTATTTTCATACGGTTTCTGTATACACATGCAGTTCCCTTAAACATTGATTTCGTTTGCCTCCAATTAGGAAAACATTATTCCAAGATTCATTTATTGGTGCCATCTCCAAAATTTGAAACACGCTACAATAAGACTGTATTATCTTAAACAGAATATCGTGAATCCATCATTCCATTCCGTCGATGGCTCTCTAGGTTCAAGAAGGCACCTTCAAGAATACAAACAATATCAAAGACAATTCTCAAATTACAGGACAAAGTGGGACCAACTAGACTTCCCATTACACACGATGTTTTAATTCGGTTGTCCATAAAGCACAACAACTATGGTGCGGCATGGGATATACAGAGCTCGTGCTAAAAGCCTCTTACACGATTGCATTTTTCGGTTTCCTCAGATGTGAGGAATTTACACAAATGTGTTCAACAACATTCGTACATATCACTATGGGGATGTCACCTTTTATCAAGACAAACTAGCTATTAACCTAGGTAGGATGAAGAAATTAATTTCAACACATGTCCAGTTGATGCCGCACAACAAAATAATATTTGAATACTGTATAAGTGGTAATTTTGCCTAATCATTTAATTTGCCTATTTCCTAATTTTTGCCAGGCTCGGAAATGTAAATGTCGGAAATATTGTCTTGTTTATAATGTTATCCAATGGGAGGTTTCTTGTCATTAGGAAAATTAAAATTAGGAAAATGATGAAATTTGACCATTCGGAAAATTAACCACTCGGATTAAATACCACCTATACAGTATGCCATGTCTCTGTCACGGAGGTCGATCAAATGATCTATTCTTCTTGACTTTGATGGTGAAGGTGCACCATTGAAGCGAGCCGTGTTTAATAATCATCTTAAAAATGATCTTCAACTATAGTGTACTTGTATTTATTGCATCAATATTCGTAACATTAATATCTTCGGTTTTTACCCCACAGAGTAAGTTAAACCGAACATAAACAAAACCAGTTACAACAAGTGGTACCTACTATCCCACATATAATTGACTGCCTTACACAACAAATATGTAAAATGCTTCAAAACTGTATTCGACCCGATCAAATATAAAGGACGAGTGTCTCTAAGACCCTATATTAGCCCCCAAGATATTTAGAAGAAATTGTACAGGATATCAACGAAGGGACTTTGTTGGATAACCAGATCCCAAAATTAGGTCATTCTGACCTTAATATTTCAAAATATAGGTCTATTAACATGTATAAAATGACCTTTTCAAGGAAAAGTCACTTTTTTCACATCATTATTGTCACTGTTTCTATGTATTATCAAAATAATGGTTATTTTCAGTCATTTAAGACTTTTTAATTGATACTTTTGGTATTATCTTACATAATAGTGACAAAGCATAATGGGCAACACTCGAAAACATACAAAATATAACAAATCAAATGCAAACAAAATATTGAATAGAAATCTTCTTTATACTGTACTTCATTTAGATCAATTGTCTACAACAAAAGTTTGCGAAACTATGTCAGAAAAGAATATTGAGTTTTTTTTAATTTATATCACAATGAGAAAGAACAAGGGGCAACATTTAAAAACACATGAAGAAATTAACAAGTCAAAAATGCATATCATATTGATCTGCTTCCTTGAGATAATTTGCTCATATACAGTTCGTTTTAAAGTGGCAGTAAAATACTAAATTTATTATTTCACATCACAGTGAGGAAGCACAGAGAGCAACATTTGAAAACACATAAAATATAACAATTTCGAAAAGGTTACTCTTGACTTAACATACATTCATGTTTTTGTTCATTATAATAAGAGATTCTATAGGCTATCATCACCTTTAGATGACAACATTTCATACATATCTTTTGATTTTAAAATGTCAAACTTTGTGCATTTCTTTTTGCTTTTATACCCCTTGTGCCTACAACCCTTCTCCAACTGGGCATGTACAACACCATCCAGTGATTGCATCAATACTATTACATACATCTGGATCTGGGTTATACTCCACCTATATATAATGAGATTTAGAGGACACAATCCGATTACTGGACTTTTACACAAATTAGGCCATATGTATCTTTTTTAACAATGGTGGTATATTTCCCATCTACTTGAAGATGGTCGTCTGTGTCTCGTTTAGATTGGTTGGGTTGATCTCAAGAGAGTCCACTACAATTTAGATGTAACCCTCTGTCTCCATACAGGGGGTACTGGGAGATTGCAGTTCACTCATACAGTTCCCTTTGCCGTTTGGTCATGTTATTAGCAAATGTCATTTTCCCGCCTACTGATTGTGACTTACAGTATATTTCTTCTGCAGAATAAAGTTTAGCT